CACACAAAACTACAATATTTCAATATTATTAAATTTCAATATAAATGATTATTAAGTTCATTGACCCGACTTGCATAGACTTGTTGTTTAATGTCATTCCAAACAAACCGTATATAAACACCATATTGGCATATTCACCATTAGCGTAAATGGAAGGCGTAATGATGAGTACGCTGCAAAAGCTTCTTACAAACTTATAAATGTTTTTGAGAGTTCCCAATGCTAATTCCAAATAGTATTAAACCTTATGTTGCCAATAGTTTTTTACAGTTAGGGATAAAAGGTCATATTAGTATTCTATCTAATCCATCTTCTAAACAAAGCATTTGCGGACATACCTTCACTTCAATTTAGTCATTATCATCAAGGAAGTTCTAAAAATATACAGCAAATTCAACAGGTTTCAGAAAATTATATTAAATTCTATTCTGTAAAATCCTAACTTACACTGTAATTCCACTTGTGAGGTTTATATATTTCCACTTTATCTATTATGAAATAAATTTTATATACGTACTTCACCAAATCAATTTTAAATTAAAAAATAATTCAAGCATGGCAATATTTGAGAACAATCTTTCCCAGTATAATCACTCTTACACTTGAGAAGGTCAGATAAGATGTTGATAGTTCTCTATTAGTTGTCTACACGAGGTAGTTTACCTTTCAATAGTTGCAACTACCGAAAATAGTACTGTCAGGATATCAAGCAAATCCTGTTATAGTGATATCACTACTAAGAAAATAAAAGTTATACCGTAATACAGTTTACACAATGAAAGTGGTTGCGCAATGGCTAGAACTGTCTTGATGACTGTCACCAGACTTTATCTGTAAAACATTAGGAAGTTCAATCTAATATAGACCTTATAATGAATGTATTTGTTGCTGATTTTGACGGTCTCAAAGAGAAGTTCTTGAACCATCTTTGGTATAATCATGAAAATAACTATATTCCAAATACAAGACAAAGAGTAAATACTAAACTGAATACTAAACAACAAAAATAATTGATTCACTTTGTTACGTTACATAAGGCTACATTTTACCATACGTTATAAATTGATCTGATCTGATACCTCCATCAAATAGGTCACCGATCAAAGTAATATCTGGTATTTATTTTGCCATACAAACAGCGAAGGTTTCTGCCACGTGTGAAATATTCCACTGTTGGTGGAATGCCAATAGCCACTGTGAACAAACACGCTACTGGATGGCACTATAAACGCTACCTATCTGCCAACGTTCAACAACCTCTAGATTTCTTTTCACAGTTCGAACAAAACAAAAAAACTAATATATGTTTAATTAAGGTTCCATTATATTTTTTCTACCGACCGAAATAACAAAACCACTTAGTAGCGCTGATTTTTTAAATATATTTTCGTGTTTTTTTTTCTATCATCCACTCTATATCTATATCTGTCGACTTAATTACTTTTTTCTTTTCTTTTTTTTTTTTACTTTTGAAATTATCTAAACTTATTTGACAGATATATATATATATATATATATATATATATATATATATATGTATTATTCGATCATATAATATGAATAGTAAATTAAAATAATAAATTAATATCATTTCAAACAAAATTATTCACAAAGTAGAAGAAACAGGCTTCTGGACGATATTATTGATTTATTTTTATCCACTAAATTTAAGACCGAGAATTCCTGCCACTTGTTGGGAATTATAGCAAATTACAAAGACACTTAATGAAGGAACTGAATCAGAATAATATTGAATAAAACACAATTCAAATTGCCAATTATCGCAGTGTCGAACGATTACAAAAAAAAAAAAAAGTTGCAGTTACATTTTAAATGAAATCATGAACTACATTCTGACGCTTCTAGATAAATTTTAGTTGCTGATAAAATTAAATATACACCAGTTATATATAGGGTGTCCCGTAAGTAGTGGGAAATATTTAAAGGAGTGATGAAGAACTACAAAAATTAGAAGTTAACATTTTATCAAATCACACTATTTGAAGTTTTTTACAGCTCGAGATGAATCTGAACTCGTTTTGGGTTTCTAAAAACCCTCAAATTAATTAATATTGGATTAAAGATTATAAAACAAGGAAGTTTTTTAAAAGTGAGTATATGATAGTTTAGCCTCTTAGAAGTCCTCTTTGAATGGTTTTAACAAGGGCACACTTTAATTTGAAGTAAATATTATCTATTTCACTCTGAAGAAGTGCTAATTACTTAAATTAAATATGTTTAAACAAAAAACTTAAATTTCTTACTTTTCTGAGGAAAATCGGGCCATTTTTTACATGAAAAATTTTGTAGTTCTCAAGGTCTAATATAACACATTTATATATTTCTCTTTACTTAAGAGACACTTTATATATCTTTAGATGGTATTTATCTAGTGCAAAGTACAACGAAATGTTTACATAGAATGATTTTTTTTTTTTAACTAAACATTATTTTTATGTATTGCTTTCTTAACTGCTTCTCTATAATGTTATGTGTCTAAAAACTCTTTGTCCTCCATAAGATTTTCATCAGCGATTCATTTTTAAGCAATCTATATTAATCCATAGTTTCGTTGAGTATACAATTTAAGACATTATTGTAAAATTTGTTTAATAACAGTCAATACAAGAAATTTACTGACTATTACTTCTAACAATGAAATGAGGTAAATAATGTCACAGTTTCTATCGTAAGTAGTATCATTTTAAGTATAAGGGATTTTACTTGTTCATTTATTTTAGTTTTTGACATTTACAAGAATATAGGTGATGAGAAACTGCACAAATATAAAAAATATTCACATGTTTGTATGGAACAGACTTTTGAAAACGTTTTAAGGTGCAATTTATAGTATGCTCTAAAATATGCTGGCTTCAGTCCAGAATATGTAATAGGTGTTATATCAATGTTATTGAAGGCAGATAAAAACTGGTTTATTTATTCCTATTTTCTTCTGTGTTATTATTATGTTGTTTATACAATTAAAGGTTTCTTCAGAGGTCGTTTTAACGAAATGGCGTAGGGTATAAGCAAACATATATTATTTTAAATCTTTAACTGAAATTGTGCTGAACAACGGTAAAGTTAATGAAGATAAGAAAGATTGAAGAATTCCAGAAAAAAATAGTATATTATATATTTACCTAAATATAATAACTAACGGTTTAAAAATAAAAACTATAGTTTATTGAACTTTCTGCAAGTTACAAATTATAGTTATTCAATGATAAAAAAATACTTCGGCGGCAATAGTTTAGGATAAATGACTCTTAGAGACTCGTGATGTAAATATTGAAAAAGTTATTCGATTCATCGAAAAAATATGTCAGTATATCGATCCTCGATATTTTCATTCCTTAGAAAATATCATTTTTAAATACATAGAAATAAATATCAACATTTTGGACCTCAATGTTTTCAGTTATGAAAGGAGGACAATCGGAATACAATTTAATTGAAATATTTGACTTTTAATGGCAAAATCAAAATTGCTGATAAACAAACAATATGAACACTTCTCAACAAAAAAAAAAAAAAAATAATCAAAAACATTATTCATTTATTTTTTTAAATAATTTTATTCTGGGATTACCGTTTCTTAAGAATAATAACAGAGTTGCAAACTTATGGGTCTTAGTCTGGCTTAGAATAATAAAAAATACAATCTAATTAACTGTTGATTGTTATTGCAATTGTTCAGTAGATTGAAATTAAACAGTATACAAATGCAAGTAATTGTACATGTTTTGAGGAAGTTTGAATGTTGAGTAGGTGATGCAACAGGAGTTGTATAAAGGAATTTGTGGACGAGGATTGACGTATGGAGGTAGGAAGAGAGTTCCAAAAGGAAGGTTGAGACCTGGTATTGAGATAGTGGATAGAAGAACGTAGAGTAAGGAGTTCTAGGATGTAGAGAGGATTTTTGGTTCTGATGACTTGAAAAAGGAAAACACTAAGGAATAATTGTCGTCGGGATGTAGGGAATAGCCACTTTAACTCGATGTAACAGAATGAAACATGTCAACGTCTGGGAATTCCGAAGATGTATCTTATGAAACAGTTTATGAGTTTCTTCAGTCTCATTTCTAGCCTGGCAGATAATACTCCATAATATAAGGGGAGATATAAGGGAGTTTTCAAGGAGCTGTCTGGTTTTTAGAGGAATACTATCACGGAATCTTAAGAGTTGTTTAAGGGATGCTATAGGTTTTCGAGTAATCTGGGAGACATGGTTATTCCAAGAGAGGTTCTGGTCAAAAGTTACTTCACTACCTAGGTGTTTGACTGTAGTGAAAAAATAAATGGGACGGTTATTGAGGCTAAGTAGAGAAAAATAAGGAAGGGAGCTAATGAGATGTCTGGACTCGATGAGAATAGTCTTAGTTTTATATGCATTCAGCTTTAATAATTTATTTCTGCCCATCTGTAGATGCAGTCAATATCCTCTTGTAGCTTTCGGGCAGCCTCAGGAATCTCAGAAGGTTGGAATGATTGGGAAATTTGGAAATCATCGACATATAGGTGGTAAACTTCCTCTTTGAATGGTCTTTCATTTAATTATTTTTCTAAAGATTATATTTTAAAACGATTGTTATCGTTTTCTGCCGATTTGGTTCTCATTGAAAACAATGATATGTCATAACATCGTATCATTTTGTAGACTAAACTCTTTCTTTAGACGCATCGAAAAGTTTTGTGGAAGATAAAAGATGAATCAATCTGTTTGATTTCTGTCGTACGGTTTTAATTTTTTTTACAAAAGTGATTCGAAAATCTTAGATATCTTTCAAAAATAACTTCAAGATAAAAATATGTTTTAAAAAGTTTGTTTTTGCAGTTTTTTTTTTTGTTTTGAACTTCAATGGTAGTTTCTTCTTCCCTTTTCAAAACGGAACTCATTAATATTAATTATTAATAATATTTTATTCAAATTTCGATCGTTTCATTCAGAGAGAGAGAGAGAGAGAGAGAGAGAATAAAAGGAATATTATTAAGCTTGATATAAATATATAGTTAAATATCTTTTATTAAATAAATCTTATATACATGAAGTTGAAAAATATCACACATTAAGTCGGTGGCCGCAGGGAAGTTGATACGTAAAAAATGTTGGTGATGTCTGTTATGATTATATTACAAGCCTTCTCCATGGCGAAGGAATCAGATGAACCAGAGTGGAGGTGACTCAACATCTACACTTTGAAGAGATCGGAGGAGCTGTCTATAAGGAACTTATCAACTGTGTGAAGAAGGCTTGGAAGATGATCATTTGAAATCTTTTTCGAGTTATCAACTTATCTTCTGTGGCCACCGGAATAATAAGCAATATGTACATAAAGCTTATCAAAGCGGATTCTTATGAGTAGGTATCCGCCACTTCACTCTTCTTTTAAAGATCATTTTCTCTTCGAAGGGTGAACAAGACACATGAGTCCAGAAGCTGAAAAAAATAATGAATTATTGAACCTACTAGGCATGCGTTATAAATTCATAGCAATGTAAAGAAGTTATAATACCTATGAGTATTCCACATACTCCGAAGTATGCGATTTCGCAATAATTGTCAAAGAGTGCGCCCATTATCTGACTTCCGGCAGCAGCTCCCAATCTTCCGAAAATGATAGCCACCGCAGTAGCCGTTGACCTAATAAAAATTAATGCACATTAAAATCAATATAGAAACTTAACTACAAGTAAATTATTTTTCTTTTTTCTTTTTAAAATTTCCGATCATCGTCGTAAACCTATGACTTCCTGTCCTACAGTATCCTTTAACACTACCCCACTTATCCCTGTTGACCAAATCCGTACCTAAGACTCCACCTTGACAAACGACTCACTTGGAATCCCCATACCAGACTGAAACGACTAGAAACCGCCCGACGTTTCCGATTACTCCAGCACTTACTAGACAAACGCTCTAAACTGCCAACTATTTAAAAAAGACTCATATATATTACTATAATAAGGCCTATTTGGACTTACGAGATCGAGCTTTGGGGCTCTACTAAACCATCAAATTCCTCTCGTATCCAATTCCTACAATCCAAAATCCTTCGTAAAATCCTTAATGCTCTCTACTTTGTCACAAATAAAATCATCCATAATGACCTTAATGTACCATATGTTTCCGATTTAGCTCAATCCAGATACCTGTCCTTTCATAATAAACTTCCGAACCATCCGAACCCTCTTCTATTCCTGATAACCCTCCGAGGCGTCTGAAAACAAGATGGCCTCGGGATCTCCTAATATAGAAATATAATTGGAGTGCTACCAATGGGTAGTTTCTCTTCATGTCATGTTACTTGTTCATATTTACTTGTTGTATTTATTATTAATTACATTTGTAAATTTCTTTAATAAAAAATAAAAATAAAAAAATTCGGAAATAGATTATGTAGATTTTTTTATGGACAATTTCAATAAATAATTTGTTATAAAAAAAATGTATATTTTAGAATTTTATATACATGGTACTTCAAATGTGAGAGTATATTTACAATTTTTGGGGAATTGTTTCCGTCTAGAGGACAAGTTTGAAAAATGAATTTTCGTACGCTATTCTTGCAATCTTTCCATGTCTCTGTATATTGTCACTTTAACCTTTGTGTCCACGTACAAAGAGATCATTTTACCATAAAGTTCATATAACTCATTTTTTTTTTTTGTTCTTTGTCATAAATCGATTTTTAGTACGTTGGCCTTATGTATGATGCCCTTAAAGTTGCCTCATTCAAATTTTCCACCGTTTGTGAATTGTTCTTTATTAGTATCAAATATTCACAGCTATAAGCCAAGTAAGCTTTTTGTAGAAAATAATTGATTTTAAGCAGATTACAATTTTATTTTTATTTTTTTCTATTCATATATAAACAACATTGTTCAGATCGACTAATTCGGGGAAATTTAGTTTATTAGGATATTTTGTTTATATATATGGTATAGAATACTTTCCAATTAAGTAGAACATTAATGTAATTTAACAAAAACTATTTGCTCGAGATATCAACCGGAAAAGTTTAAGATAAGCTCATTTCAAAGAGAGTATTAATTAACTTTAATGTACTACCATGAGTTACAATAATGTACATTGCAAAGTGGGTCATCACAATGAGATAAAAAAAAAATAATGAGAAGAGATATTGTTAAAATGATATTATTTATCATATTAAAACTTGTTAGTAAAAAAAAAAAATTAAGTGGTTTCAAAAGCTCTGTTTTTTTGTGTGTTTTTATGATTCATAACTCATAACAGTCTGTGTTGCTTCCTCGCTAATTACAATCCTTACATAATTTGTTTTTTGAAAATAAAATCTACAGAAGAAGCCATTTACAAAGATTGGTCTTGTCATGAAAATACCTCCTTCTATGCAACAGAAATCGATAAAATCTATATTGGGTAATCTAAATATAAATCCTCACAATCACTGATTTTTTTTTTCAAATCGAATAAAATGCAAAAGACGCTCCTCAACTTAATTATATTATAGAAAGAGATATAATTTAAAAATTGCTAGCTTGGCTAAACAAGGTTGCAAAGGGTCTAACTTCTATTCACCAAATTAAATTAAAAATTATTTCAAGTATTCGATGTGCTAACACTATATTCGCTATTAGTAAAATTTATCAATTTGGTACTAATTTATCTACATGAGAGTAGCTATGAAGATGGTTTAATAAAATGATATTTTACAACTGACATATAAAATATTTTAAAACTTGAATTAAATTGTTGTTGTTCACTATAGATGATACCATGAAGACGAATTGATTTTTGATCTTTTGAATTATGATTTAAATTTTATGTTCATGATTTTAAAAAGTCACTGACAACTAATGTTAACAAATTAAAAATCATTTTTTAATAGAAAACTATAACTTAAATTAATTAATAAATAAATTTAGAAGTTATCAATGTTATTAATAATCGCTTTTTATCGAACATCGATAACATTGAGTTAAGAAATACAAAAAATGCCAATTACTCTTTAGGATAGAGTCATCAGAACAAAAATAAATAAATAATCATTTCATAGTAAACCAGATAAAATTTCCTTCTAACGCAAGTAGATATTTCTTTTTAAAAACCATTTAACAATTATTATCGATTTAAATTATCATCCTCCAATTAAACTACAGATGTCCCATTTTATAAAAACTTAAATGACTGAAAATTACAACTTTTTATCAATGTTATTAAATTACTAAATAACTGGTATGGAATATTATCGTGTTTTACTCTTTAGACTCAGAACAGATCACAATAGAATGAGACCACACATCTATGAGAAATTTAAAATTAGAGGAAACCTTCTCAGCCACCAAAATACAAAACATATACCTCTTACATGTCCTAAGATAGAGGATATCAGGAAGAAAATTTGGCCAAACCCCACTGGCTTGGTAATGAAGCTCTCCATCGAATTTATAACCTTAATCCCGAACCTGACCATCTGAGGGAAGTTCGAAAAAGAATATATTAATATTAATAAGAATATATATAAGAATATATCATGTTGTTGGTTTCACCAATATGTTATTCGTTTTTAGAACCATCAAAGCAAAAAAACTTTTGAACATGAATTATTTTTTTAAACAAACAAATTCAACCTCTTAATGTATCTACTTTGAATAGCGACAGTTTTTAGTAACATTTTTTGTCCTCCTCTACCTCCCACCATCAAACCCGGCGCGGTAAACTTCAAGACTTCTTACCAGTTGTTAAAGAGAGGATTATGAGCGATTTCTGACAAGTTTCAGCCTTTTTTTTTTAGTTTTTTTCATACTAGATTCAAAACCTAATCTTACTGTACGATTGCTAATCCCACCATTATGTCTTACATTTCATCATTTGTCAGCTATATCTCCAAAATAATAAGTACAGAATGTTTAGAACATAAGAAAAAAAAATATTAAAGTTAATAGTAATTAATTTTTTTACCTGACGTAAGTCGGGTAGAATTCCATTATCAACGCCATTATCAATGGAAATCCCATGGAAGAATCGACTATAGCAAATGCTAAAGCTGCAATTGTAAGATATTCCTGCTGCAAAAATACTACAAGAACTGTCATAGCACCAGTCGAGATCAGTAAGCAAGCTGTAAGATAATATAATATGCTTAGTATACGAGTATATTTGGTACTTTTGAATACACAATAATATGTATTAAGCCTACCTAGAAGGAGTTTCTTTCCTAACCGGTCCGCATAGATACTGACGAAAAGCGCGGAAAACACTTGAACGATACCAAGTAAGATGCAGTAGAAGAAGAAATCATAATTGAGCTGGCAGTCTTCTAAAACTTCTATGGTACCATACCTAGATGACATGAGGTCACAGAGGGTCACGTTGTATACCTCATGAGTCAGTGAAAAACTTTTGATCCTACTCAGTTGCTCAGGGAACCACAGCATGTAGGAGTAAAACCTATAATAAAATTGAACTCATGTTAAATGCGAATAAACAAATTTGATGTAGCATTATTTATAGGAAGGTGATTATTCATTATTTTATATAAGGAATTTACTTACGATCCTACTTGACTAAACAGTAAAACGCAAGAAATGAAGGTGCACAAAACGAACTCTTTTGAAAATAAAAGTCGGCTTCTAGAAGTCATATCCTTAACTGATTTCAGGAAAGGGTTGGTGATTTCATTATACTCGCCATAACCTTCATCGCTTGAGTCTAATATCACGTTAAGCACCTGGAAGAAGAGCAACTTTAAGATTTTTTTATTAAAATAAAAAATTACCACAAGATAACAGATGTATTGAGTATGTATTAACGAACAAAAATTGAAAAATAAATTTCAAATCTAATTTTTTATTTTTTTTTATGTACATAAATTACCTACAGGATAATCCTCCTTCTTCTTCTTATTATTCACTGCGTAGATCATTTTCAAAATTTCCAAAGTCTTTTCAGCATCCCCTTGATTCAGAAGAAACTTTGGTGTCTCCGGTATCTTCCAAAAACATACCACAGAAATAAACATAGGGATGCTAATAATAATCAGGTACAGCCTCCAAGAAGTAAAAGTGATGATTCCGAAAATAGAAAATTTTATGTCCAATGGAAGTACCAGCCATGCCAAACCTGTACAAAAATAATGGTCAAAGTTAGCACCTGTGTAATAAATGACTGAGATTCTTCATCACTATCCTAACTGGGTATTAATTAAAGATAAATATAAGTATGTAGTGTATGTTTATGTAAATAGTTTTAAGTAAACGTTGTCCGTGACGCTAAATTAGGACATAATGAGTTGTCCATTCAACTGTTCTAAAATTGGTAACCACTAAACCTAAAAAAAATAGTTTCATAAACATTCTGTAAGTTTTTAATAATTTGAAAATCATTTATTTCATGATATAGAACTATTTAGTAAGTCAGTTATACATTTCGTTCACGAAGCGTCAGTTTTGTAAATATACTTTAGTCATGTATTATGTTATATATATATATATATATATATATATATATATATATATATATCATTAAGGTCCGCTTTCTGACCTATTCAACTAAAATTCTAAACCCTGAAAGCGTAAGGAAAACAAATTTTACTGTTTTAATTCTCTACCAGTCCATAAATTTTCCCAAACTTTGAGATTTATCAGACGAGTCGTATTCGAATCATAGGAGTCTCAATTTAAATTATTTTATACATGTCTACATATCGCCACTGTTAGTGTAATAGGTCGTTTGTAACAATTTTCTATGCTTATTATATTTGTGATAAAGATGAAATTCTGCAGTCTGCTACCATGGAAAATAGCAGAGGGAAATAAAATATATATTATTGTACAAATAAATCATAAATAAATAATCAGTTTTCATACTCTTCAGTAAAAAAAAACAACTCGATTTTCAAATACGGCCTTTTGCACTAACAGTAGCGACATGCATATTACATTTTAGACGTCCACAACTTATAACTTTTTTAACTTATACAGTTAAAAAATTTTAAAAACAGGACTTATAATTAATTATTAACTAATATTGATTAAACAAGCTGTGTATTACCTGGAAGAAAAATATTTGACAATAAACTAATACATGTAGCGATGATAAGACCTTTTGCTCTAATGGACATAGGACTGAATTCACTAACAAAGACGTAAGACGGAGTGAAGGAACCAGTCAGTCTAAAATATATAAAATGGTAACCTTAATTAGAACTAATAATATAAATTAGTAACAAACTATTCAAGAGACATAACATAAACATTAGGTTATAATTTGAAAAACTTAACTGTGTGAAAAATCACACAGCCTTATGTCTCCAAAAATGCAGGCAAACAAAACAAACCAATTCAACGTTTCACCAATTCAGATATCATCAGCTCAGAAAAGAACATCACTCCATGACATCCAACCGCTTACTAATAAGATGCGATTGGATATTAAGGAGTGATGTTCGATTAGCTTTTATTTTTTGTCCTGATGATGCCTGAATTGGCGAAACGTTGACGGATTTGTTTCCTTTGCCTACATTTTTGAGACATAAGGCTGTGTGATTTTAGAAGTTTTCCAAATTATAACCTAATAATAATAAGTATAAGAAGAAAAACTTTACCATAAATCAAATTTGATACTTACACTATTCCATTAATAAAGTTTATCACCATAAGTGTCTCATAGTTTGGTGAAATACTGCTTAATAGCAAGAGGCATGTGCTGATAGTCTGTGTGATTGCGCAGAGCGTTTTTCTCCCATAGGCATCCGACAGGAAGCCAGCCAATGGACCGGCCACTACCATACCTTAGGCACAAGAAATGATCATAATCTTCAGGTTACCAATGGAGGATCAAAGTGTTCTTTGGATATTTAGGTGAAAATATCGGATAAATGATATCAGTTAAAAGTAATGCCTTACCAGTGAAAGTTATGGAAGTCAGCAGCCCCTTTTGCGGATTGGTGAGCTTCAAGTCACAGCCTACCGCCGGAAGTACCATCGCCATGGCCTCGATATTCAACATGGAAGCAAAGAGAAGAAATCCTGTGGCGAAGATCACGTAGGCGGTGTAAAGTCCTGTCCCTGTTGTTAACAAGTAGAGTAACTTTAAAATATTAAAAATAAAAAAGATGAAATGTTTGGGGTGAGAAGTCGCAAGTAAAAAGTAAAAATAAATAAATGGTCTTACGGAGGAGCCCTTAGTGAGACCACAGCTCTGATGAACGCCTAAACCTTGGCCGAAACGTCGATAATACGATTTAATTTTCTTGTCATATTTTTTAGATTCGGTGTCACATTTATGTTTTTTTTTAAAAGTGTTAGGACAAAAGTCACTAACAATAAACGTTTTCATTTTATTTATTTATTATTCAACATTTCGGCCTCTTCATAGTGATATAATTTAAAGAAAAATAACTAAATTAAAACTTATTTCCAGAATCTGGAAAATGGCTGGAGAGACCGAAACATTGAATAAGTAAATAAAGTAAAAACGTTTATTATTGGTGAACTTATAAATAATTTATTTATTATTTATTATTTATTATTATTTATTTAGTGAATAAATAATTTATTTATTTTTAACTTTTTACTTGTGACCCCTTGTTTTTACCGTTCAACCAGCTGATTTCTCATTAATAATCCACAACAGTCAACTATTAAGAATTAAATAATTGATTTACATCATTATGTTCGTTGGGAGAAAGTTATTTTTTTCTGATAAAGTTTAATTTTATGAATAGATCTTGATTTCAAATCTTTTTTCTAATAACCATTAATCCCTTCTGACGGATGCATTGCTTCTCAACATTTTTAATTTATTTAATTCAATTTCAAATAAATATTAAACTAAAACTACTCTTTATCAGCACTAGCGGATTCAGGATTACATTTTGGAGGGAATAGAGTTTTTTTTTTCTTTATTTCTTTGTAATAGTAATCATTCAAAAAAAAAAAAAAAAAAAAAAGAAACTAATATTTAATAAAGTAATATTGAAGCAATTCTTGATTTATTAAAAAAAAACAATTCAACAATTTATGAAAAATGAACAGAAGCATTTCAAAAATGTTACTATTAGGAGTCATTTTTAATATATTTTTTTCTTAATATGTGTTTATATTTAGTAACTGTATATACGATATAATTTTAAACTAGTATAAATTGTGAGTGTATAAGGATTTAGCTCAGACCGCTTACGGAAGCAATATGGACTTAAATTTTTGTTCTGCCTTCCTGGGGATCAGCATGCATTTACCATAAGGCCGGGAATTAGAAAACAATAAAAACCATTAAAATATACCATATAACTTGTCATCAAAGACAAAATATGGTATCAAAAGTACAAAAAAATACAACGAAGTTATCAAATGTAATAATAAAGATGAAATAATAAGCCTTAAACACAATATAGAAACAATAAATTTACGATACTCACAATTACTTAAAATTTATATTAATTCTAACTGAGGCTTTCAGGAACAGGAAAGGGAGTTATTGGAGGAAATCATATTTTTGTATGGTTTTTATTGAAGAAAACTTTCTACCGAAGGAACAAAGGAAAACTTAATTATTATTTTTAACATTTTACTTTCATTTGTACCAAGAAGTGGAGAGCAGTCAATTTATTTGGGTGGGGTTGCATGCGGCATCGCTATTGGACAGGAGATGGGCAACCCTGGACAAAATCATTTAGTTTTAAAGAAAAATAAGTAAAGTCTTGAAATCTTCCTATGATTTTAATGTATTTCTAGGTGAATCAGACAATGGAAAATATTTTTAGTTGTATTCTCCACCCGAGGGATAAAAAATGGTTCTTGGTACCTGGAAGTATACATTCATTATTGAGCAATTTTCAATTAAATCACTTCACTATACCTACATAGAGTGAAACATGATTTTATCATTTGAAGTATCATTGACGAAACCTAGAAATATAACGAATACCTTGTCATACATTAGTTATATTAACTTTTAGTTTAATCAATAAGAAATTTTCTAAGCCTAAAATAAATTTAATTATTCAAAATAGCATAATATATGCACAAAAATTGTATTTATATATGCAAAAACAAGCACCATAAAAGTATGCCAATAGATTTAGAATGATTTTTTTCATTAAAATATCGACTCATGTTTTTTTAAAACATTAATAAAAAAAAACAAATATATGCTTCTGCATACAAAATGAGCTATATTTATCAACATTGCTGTTCTACTTTATAGCATTAATGCCCTGCAAAGAAATATTAACAAATCATTCTCACTTTATTCATAAATGATTTCTGAGAATCTGGTTTCGGTTAAGGGAAGAATAAATAATGAAACATGCGCCATAAAGTTAAGGCAAGTAGGTTGTTAAGACGAGCTGGCCATCGAAGTAAGCACGCAAACATTAATTCTTAATTAGTTGGAAAGATAATTAGAACTATACGCATAGGCAGAACAAACAGTGAAGCTTCGGAGTTACAGATTTTGCATAACAATAAGGTCAATAATTTAATAAAATCAGCATTTTGATGAAGTAATCAGCACTTTCAGGACTATTCCTCTCTTCTTTGTTATCAAGATTCCCATTTATCAAGGATTAAAAATTACAGTATAAACATTTGACTCAAAAATTTCGAATATTGATACAAAATTACCTGCAATTTCCATAGCCTCGTCGAGATGCACGTGAGATTTCTTCTGCAAGGTCATTGTTGGTCAAATAGCAACCGCACAAAAAAAAAATATCGAAGTGCAACTAAAAACCAATCCAATGCAACTCTTAATGTTTCGTTATCGAGTTCCCTACTGCCTAAATTTGTTTCACAAACCAGGTACTTATAATGATTATAGTTTGCTGATGTTTCTCAAAATCAGCGAAAATAAAATTCACACACTACAAACTGTACTGAGCTGTTGGCAGTTGTACTAGATGAAAATAACTCACTGTCGGACCGAGGCTTCTCAAGAGATTTTTATATCAATTTGGCCATGACACTAAGCAATTAGTAATGTCATTTTTCGATCGCCTTTGAATTTACAGCACAACAGTTCCATTCAAATTATATGTTGTAACACAGTTCGTTCAATGGAGAAAGATCCAAGGCACTTCACATAATATTTATGAAAAAAAAATTACTTGCTAGTTTATATTGACAGAGCAAAACTATCATTAATAGATCGGAGACAGTTACGAAGTTTATAAAAATTGAAAGGTACCCTTATCTATAAAATGATATACTCGAAAAAAAAAAAAAAAAGAAACAATTACACCTGACAATTAATTGATTTTGAAAGTGTCTGGGGGAAAAAAATTAATCAGTTTTTACTCCTCATTACCTTTGGAATTCATTTTGTAATAAGCCACTATCAACCGCTTCAAAACGTGTGTTTAAGCCTGAGATATCATTACTGTTATTGCAAAAGAATTTTACATTCTAATTCTATTTGTGCTGAAGGTGGTATTTTGTAGTCTGCAACTGCTATAAGTAGTCTGCTACTTTGGGAAATAGCATAGGGAAATAAAATATGAAATTCCACTTATAAATCATAAAGAAATAATCAGTATTTAGATTCTCTTGAAAAAAAAAACTCAATTTTCACATACGACCTTTTGTTCTAACAATAGAGATATGTCAAAGATTTATATACTTTTCCTGAGGATCTGAGCTGACCAACGTTACAGTCTTAATTGTTCTCATATTCATGTCATACATAAAAAAAAAATAGCTTTATCGAAATATTTTATCGAAACTAAATCAAATCCAAAAGAAATTAATGACGAAAGTGTTATTATTAAATAAACGGTAAGCTACATTAAACATGCTTTAATATAATACTGATTGCGAATAGCAGGGGTAAGGTAGCAGTGGAAATTACTTGATTTCCTTAGACCTAATTGGTTTTCAGTGAATTTCCCAATGGAGGATACTAAATAGTTTATTTATTCGCTAAATCTCAAGATCCTCGGAATAAAGAATGCACACTTCCTTCAAGGTAAAATTTCGTGCGAGCAATCATTAAATTCTGATTCTCTGTTGACAATAATTGGAAGTAATTAAATTATAACAGTTTTTTATTATATCTTCCAAATTTTCAAGAGCATTTATAATTAATAAAATTAACAATTTCCAGGAATTATTTAAGGAAAATGTGAAAACTATATTTTATATAAAATAAGAAGAGGCTTTGAACAATGAGATCTACTTTATATTTTGATTTTCAATCATGTATCTGATGAATCCATAAATAAATCAAAAACAAATAGTTGATTTACAAGCGTTATGACGCAGCAACATACAATGAGCTCAAGAACGGACTGGACCATCAGTTCGGCAAGCATTTCTCTGGGAAGCTTAAGATCTGGGGTCGGATATGAATGTAAATTTTTTTTTTTCAATTCATGCAAAAAACGAGGTTCCTGATAAAACATTTTTATGCAAACTTGCCATGTCTGTTATTATATCAAAGTATACTATATTACGAAGTTCTCTCCTCCAGATGGATGTGCCATCTACTTCGGAAAATGAGCATTGAAAATGTATAACAGAAATGTATCATATAATCGTATGCGCCTATAGTTCTTATTCCTGTCGCTTCGTAAGACAATCTATATTTGTATATTATTTTACGAAGTGTAGTAAAATTGTTCATTAAGAAGTAGTTGCTAGTTGCTAGTTGTGATTGATGCTTGGTGTGATTTTTCCTGTTTTATATATATATATATATATATATATATATATATATATATATATATATATATATATATATATATATATATATATATATTTTTTTTTTTTTTTTTTTTTAAATTTTCAAAACATCATTTGATAAAATTTGTTTTTAAACTTATGGACACTAAAATGAGTTCTTAATATTTTATTTTTTATACATTATTATAGAGAAGATTATTAAGTATAAAACATAAAGAAATAAAGTAAATAAAATCAAGCAATACTATATCATATTTTGTTTCTGTCTTACTTTACATCAAATGAGGATAATTCCAGTTTTTTAAAGCTTATCATGTGCTAATACTAGCTAAATTAGCACTATTAAATCCAAAGCTGAAAATAATGACGCATTATTGATTTAGTGTATCAATGGAAAAAGTTTTCCATTTTTTTTTTTTTTTAACGTTTTCAGAATTTGAAGTTAATCCCTATTGTTAATAGGTGCCTCTTCTACGAAATTTATTTTTCAACTCACACCAATTTTAAATTTAAGGTCACCTATAATCTTAAAATAATAGTTCAACAATTCTTAACAAAACTTACGTGGGTATTATTTCTCTGTACATTCTTATTTGTATTGTTTTTTCTATATTTTTATTGAAGGAAGCTAGTCAACTGTTATACATATCATGGGTGATAAATATTCAGGATGCAGTCATTATACAAATTTTTTATTTGTGCCAACGTTTCAACCCAAAAATGTGGGTCATCTTCAGGGCGTGGTTCGAGCAATGATGATGACCCACATGTTTGGGTTGAAACTTTGGCACGAATAAAACATTTTTATAATGACTGCGTCCTGAATATCTATCACCCATTCTATATTTTTAATAATAGCTTGGCACGTGTTACACTGTCTTTTATTTTATATATAGTTTGAAGGGTGGAAAAGCATGGATATGTGTTGAAACACATGTGTTGATAGGAACGAACACATAAACATAATAGATAAAGATATAAAAATATTTCATTGAGATTAAGTAATTTTCACCTATACTTTTTATCTTCACTAATGATTGAATTTGGAACATGAGATAATTGAAAAACAATAAAATAAAAAAAAATGAAATCGTTTCAAAACTCACAAAAAATAAAATAAAATAAAGGAATTCATAGTTACAAACCAGTTCTATTTCTGTAAATAGAAAATTCTATTGAAATTTTAATAATTCCTATTTCTATTGAGATCCCTGAACTTTCTAGGTGTCATTAAAATTAGTTTGAATAGAAAATATCAATGAAAATTATCTTGTGGGAAGTGGAGATATAATTAAAGGGGCATTTTAATTATAATAATAACAGTAATTAATAAATTAACCAGCCACCCCAATAAGAATAAATATTTTATAAGAAGTTTTTAGGAGCTAATTTTCAACTTGAACAGAACTTAACACAGTTCATAAATAATTTCTTCCATCAAATGTCTTAAAACAATAGAAACAACTTCATTTCCTTTATCTCTAGAACTTAATATCGTCTCCAAAGTGAAAAATATAAAAATAATTTGAAATATTTGGTTGGCAATGTTGTAAACGTTTTAAAAGTGGGCCCAATCTATTTCGAAATAAATATCATCTCCTGGTAACATTAATCTATTTGATTGACGGAATTAATGTCAAAACCAACAAAACAGAATCAATTATTTGTTATTCAGATAAAAAAAATTTCACGAAATTCCCCGCCTTGTTAATTCGGCTGCCTTGGGCAGAATTGTCTCCAATACCCTTCTCCACATTAGTTCCGGCCCTGATCCGATGGCTCAATACTTGAAGCGAAGAATTCGGAAAGAAGCTGAACGGACCAATTAAGATTAAAAATAAACGTATAATAATATGTAGAGTTTTTCATTTATTTATTTTTAATTCATTTCATTAAGAAACCTTTGTAAAAGAAATGACAAGAATTAGATTTAAAAAGTTGAAAAGTGTCAGATTTCTGCCTCCAAGGTCGATTTTCACTTAAATTTGTTTGAAATCTCATAGAGCGCACTTTATTGCTGGAGGAGACTATAATGCTAAACACCAATGATGGGGTTGTCGAACATCCAACTCCCACGGTAGCATCCTATCACGTGTCTCTTCTTCCAACAGTTATTCGAATCTTATTAAGATATAAACGCAGAGCAAGATCGAAGTGGCACAGCACTAGATGTCCTTCAGACAAAACGTACTATACCGAATTGACTAACAAACTAAAATCAGAAATCAGAAAATATAAAACTCAACAACATATAAATAAATAAAAAAATTTGTTTGAAAAGTAATAGGACTGTTTCATTAAAGCTTATTAGAAGAAGCTGAATAGAGTTTTAAAATCAATTGTAGTCATGTAGTAACAGGCGGATCTACGAGGGAAGGGGAGCTTTCGGGTTGAAGTCCCGCCCCCCAAAAAATGGTAAAATGTAACCCTGTTTTATGGGAAAAATATAAAAAATTATCTCTTAAAGTATTATTGTTCGTGTAATTACATTTAATTAAATAGGACTTCAACTATCACTTAAACAATATTTCATATAGGTAGTTAGTTTATTTTCTTTTTTCCAACGTAATTACCGTTATATATATGAAAAAAAACCTGAAGGCTGAAGCCCCCCTCCCCAAAATCAAATCCTGGATCCGCTAGTGCATGTAGTGGTTTAAGCATTTTATGATTTGTTTCCGAATCTACTGTATCGAAATTGGCATATGTGGATCCAATATTGGAGGCATAAGCTTCCACGAAACCGTCAGTGACAATGATGTGAGATGAATTAGTCTTATGTGGGGCTATGTGTTTACTTGTTTATCAAACGATGTTCCCGCTCAAGTAGATCCACAACATAGGTAAGCAAAAGGGTGCAAAAAAAAACGAATGGTTCATATGCTAGTGAACAAGAGAGATTATAGCTGATTATTAAAATATTAAGACTACATTCTGATTATTATCAAACAATACCAAAGGCAGAAGCGATTCCACAAAACATCAAAAACGAAGTCAGTAATTTGAAATATCCTGAAATAAAAACCGAATTCTGACAAATCAAGAACCCTTTGAATCAGAGGATATTACTATGGACAGACACAAAAAAGAATATGAGTCAAATTTAAAATAAATAACAAATGATATATTGGTATTCAGGAGAAAAAAACAAAAACTGGTGCAAAGAGGCATGAGAGAAGGCGAAATAGAAAAACGAAACTCCTCTGCCTAACCAAAACCGATCAAGCTAAGAAAAGAGTAAACAAACTTATAGCATCACCAAACAGAGAATTCCTCCAAGTAAAACTGCAAGCTACTGAAAATCAATTTGAAAAAAAATAAGTAAACTAGAATATTGTGGAGGATTGAATTTAAATCGCACATAAAAAGTAAATAATATCGATCTTATACTGCATATTAGCTTGCCTAAATTCAAAGCATTAGTACCCATCATATCTATTCCAATAGTTCATAACTAACACAGATTCTACAATATTGTACAGATCATAACTTGATATATACTGATTAAAAAAAAAATGAATTAATCATTAGGAATAAGTAAAACTTCTGACGCTAAAATCTCAAAATGCTTAATTGTGAAGTTAAAACCAATGCTAACATACTTTTTTTTTTTTTAATATCGTTATATTTACGGGTTTAAGATGAGAGAAATGGCAAATAAAAATTGAAACTAATAATAAGTCTAAACAAAGAAATTTAACACTTATTAATATTAAATAAATAAATATTCAGAGAAGTTGTATAATAAAAACTAAGAAGTGCGCAAACAAGTACTATAATATAAATGAAATTGTGTGTTTAATCTCTAACAATATTCCGGTGACAAAATTAACAAAGTTACACAAAATTCCAGATTATTAGATTTCATAGGTCTGAGTAGCATCCTCAAACTTCACCTCAATATTGAAGAATAACTTGCTCACGAAAAGATTACTGTCATTAAATTCTAACCTCTAGCATACGTCTTGACGTCTAATGTAATTCTGTTGGTAACTAATAGTCGCTATTCATCCGCCAGTATTTAAATCGTGAACATGTGGAAATGTAGAATTAACTAGTACTTTATATAGGCCATCGCCTTTTAATCTATAAAAAATTCTACAAATGTAGCAAGAAAAAAAATAAAACTATGTACACATTTCTAGAAAATATTCACTTTCAGATACAACATGTTTTCGATCAATTAATTAATCAAAACACTTTTCTTACCAGCTATTGCTAAAGCTTCGTCTAGAGGAACGTTTGCTTTCTTTGCCGGCCCCATTTCACTACTTTATTTTTAAAATATCACAGATAGCTAAAATGTACAAATGAACGAATCACGCCTTCAGAGTATTTACATATTTTCAAGGAAGGAGGTTCGACCGACAGTAGGAACATGAACGAACTCCACTCTCGGTAAATTATATATGTACGGTATTATCTACCATCCCATAGAACGAAGGTGGCCGAGTAAATATTGGACAATTATCTGAGATCATGAATGTCTTACGTAATATCAACTAAATATAACGAGTTATGGAATCATAAACAAGATTATTAGAAGTTATCGGATACAATGCCAGTAGGTAATTAATTTTTTAATAAATTAAAAACGTTCATCATAGACGTACATTTTTTCTTCTATCTATCCGAAGATGATATGTCCTTGGTTGAAAAATATCTCTTACCAAATCTGTAATTTTATAATGGGAAACAGAGAGGTAAAGAAGAGCATTAAATTCCATATCTTTATGGATCTATTAATCTATTTGCGTACATTATTATATGATTGCGAAAGTTGGGCCTAGTGAAGCAATGAAGTAGGATTTTGGCTGCAGAAATGATTATTATTAAGATTATTGTATTGTTGTATTATTAATAAAGGAGATGGTCCGGCTTGACGGCCATAAATAGACTAAATAGTAGCAAAACTATTTTATTAAAAGCCAACGTTTCGGCCCGACTTCACAAGTCTTCTTCAGGGAGGTGTGTTCAGCATGGAGTTTCATTTATAGCCCTGGAGCCAGAGCCCAAAAATTAACCCGATCGCAGGCGAAGGTTTGATTGTAAATTACGAAAGTGTATGTTATTCTGAATAAAAAGAACCTTTCAAAAATGGCGGCTGAATTAAAGAATATCAATACTTTGAGGATCGAAACGGTAAATCCATTGCGAAAAGTTTTTATTTTTTTAACTTGTATATATGGAATTAGATATGTAAAAAACTAAATTGCTAACGCGGGCCACCAAGGGAAAAGTTTTTACATCCAAAAAAGAAGGATTTTTTTTTATTTTTTCACCTATAACTCCTAAACTATGCATCGAAGCGAAAAATGTGTTCTTTAATAAATTAAAAAACGTTAATTGTTGCGTCAAACAAGTTCATAAACTTTGGTTAGGCGGTAAGGTATAAAATCACGGTCAACCAACGCTGATTTTAACCAAATTTGTCAAAAACTGAGACAAATTACTATAAATGGTACTGTAAATTGGAAATGAGTTCTCTAAGAGGAAAACCCCATAGAATAAAAGTTGTAGAACATCAAATTTTGTGTCAACTGAGTACTGACATTTTTGTTTTATTTTATGTACTTGTTTGACGCAAAATTTAACGTTCTTTAATTTATTAAAGTTTCATTTATAGCCCTGGCTCCAGAAAATCTTAAGTAAAAAGTTTTCCCTTGGTGGCCCACGTTAGAAATTCCCAGTTTTGAGCCGTCGTCCCCCTTGTTCCTGATTCTAAGGATTCTAGCATCGGCAGTTACTTCATCAATCCATCTAAACTTCGGACTACTTACTTTTCTTTTTCCACCTGGCTCTATATCGTTGGAGTCTAGACTCAACCATCCGTGCAACGTGGCCCACCAATCTCACACTTGCTATCCGGATGTATTTCACTACTTCTGGCTCCTCGTATAAGTTGGCTAGTTCTTGGTTGCATATAATTCTCTTTTATTCTCAGTTTATCATTCTCTTTCAGTGAGACAAATATCTTCCGGAGGATCTTCCTTTTGAAAACTAACATTTTTCTATCAGCGTTCTTCGTCAATGTCCATGATTCTCGTAATGTGTCAGGATCGGTCGTATTAGGACTTTGTATAGAAGTTTATTTGAGCATAGCAGTGAATGGCTTTTCTTATACTTCAGGAGACTATAATAACATTTGTTTAAGGAAATAAGTCTTTGCTTCACCTCCTGGTTCATTATCCACAGTCACTACCGATTATTAACATTTTACGATTCCCACCGGATATATTTAGGTAAAGAAATAGCCCCAACGAACAGGCCTCTATACTGACTCGCACGTCAGAAGAGAGTGGCTGATAAATTAAAATACATATGGTTTACGGGCGGTAGAGTGTGGTGCAGAAAAGACGACGGACATCCAGTAATATTCATTTATCAACCAAATGATTCTGAGGTTTTCTGCTGACCCTCTGTTGTACGTCAACCTATAGATAGCGATAGCCGAAGACTTCCAATCATCTTCTTAATCAAAGTTGTTGTTTTTTTTCCTATTGCATCGTTCTTCATAATTAAGCACATATTTTACTTCTTTTAAAACCATTATTTCCTTCGTTCTAAATTTGTTTTCAATACTTTCTCTTACTTTCAGCGTCTATCCATCATATTATTTATACTTTTCTCCTTTCCGTTATGTCTAGTATCTTAATTATTTGTCACATAAATTAACAATCCCTCTCCGCTTACTATGACGAATTTCTCCAATATTTCACCCTTAATTTTCACCACATCATTGCAGTCTCCGAAACATGGTTTAAGCCCTATATCTCTTCCTCTTCGGTTTCCTTATCTGATAATACCTTCATCCGCCAAGACTGGCTTTTGCGGACTGGCGGAGGTTTTAATGTCTATGTCCATAATAGTCTGAAATCACATTGAATTCCCCTTCATTGAAATTTCCTGAAAACCACAACCTCCCTTATATGTAGTAGTATACCGTCCTCCTTTCGACTCATCCTTCGAATCAACCTTGTACGATTATGTTCCTTTATATGATAATATAATAATTTCCGGAGATTTCAATACTAATCTTCTCTCTGAATCTAATAACAAACGCTACATGGAAAACCTGTTCTTCTCCCTCAATCTTTTTATAGATCCATTTGCTCCAGCCCGTCATACTTGTTGTTCCGACACATCGTTGGATCTGTATATCATAGATTCAGAGCAAAAATTCTTGTCCTTTTCTCAATTACTCATTTATTTTAAACCCTGCCGTGCCTTGTAGGCAATACGGGTGTCTGCAATAGTAAGATGTTTAGGCAGCTCAGCTCAACATCTCACTGCTGCAAGTAAAGCTTGATCATTTGCTCTTTCTTGATTTCTTTGGTTTTCTTGAGTTATTTTCCTATACTCTTCATAACAATGGTCTTGTAGATCCTCCTCCTCTTCTTAGATTGAAATGGACTGTCCCTACCGCGGCTTTCCACCTGTACACAAAATCTTTGTAGTACGGGTAGTTTTCCGCAGTGACTAACTGAGGAAAGTCGTTCTCTGTGACACTGTAGAGAACCGGTTTCCATCAGTAATTTAGCCCTTAGTTCTTCAAAGGTGGTGCATTCGACTATGATGTGCTCAGCAGTCTCTGAAACAACGCAACAAGGGAATGAGGGGTCGATGTCCTTCCCACGGCAATGATACTTTGCTCGAAAGCCCCCATGGCCTGTGAGAAATTTCTCCACTTTGCTCCTACACGTGGCTGGACGGTCAGGAAGTACTTCCTCATGGTAAATCCTTTTGGAATTATCACCCGCCGCCGGTTCCATTCTTCCATTCTTGTCATCCTGTATAATGTATTTACATTTGCAAGGATTCTCGTCAATTCTCATCTTAAGATTTCCCGGCAGACCTGCTCAGCTGTTTTTGTTAACCGTATGTTTCATCATGTCTTCACGCAAGAGAAGGTCGAGGGGTACCCCTCCTGCTAATAGCTGAACCGCCTCATGGAATATGCTCTGATACGCCCTGATGACCCGCAGCGCAGCAAATGCGTTCGCTGTATTGCCGCCAACTTACTCTTCCATCTGTGCGAGAGGTTCTGGTTCTAGGTGGGAGACGCATACCTCAAGATACCTATAATCACTCCCTTATAAATTGTTAAGATTGTTGGGTATCTGAGGCCCCAGAAAGCGCCTCAAACCCGACTGAGACCGTTTAAAGATATTGCCACCCTGTTTCTAAGGTAGTCCAAGTCACGGGCGAATCCACGGAGATGAAGGGCTTTCGGGCTGAAGCTCCCCTCCAAAATGGTAAAATATAACCATGTTTTATGGGAAAATATATTAAAAAATTATTTTTTAAAGTATTATTGTTCGTGTAATTACATTCAAAAGAAGGAATCACTTAAACACTTTCATTTCATATAGATAAACACTTAAATCCATTTCAAACAGATAGTTAGTTTCTTTCTTTTTTTCCAAAGTAATTATCGTAATTTTTATGAATAAAAAAGCTTTCTTGCTGATCCTCCCCCCTAAAATTAAACGTTTAATCTTTTTTCCAAATCTCACGCCTAGATAAGTGACCACCTCAACTGGACGTATTCTCGATCCTTGAATCATAATATTAATAGGGTGTGTCCTATCAGTTTTTCCTTTCATGGGAATTGTATGAGCCTTTGAAGCGGCCATTGACAGCTTTTTCCTCTAGCACCATTCTCCGACCAAGTAGGCGCATCGTTCCGCTTCTTGTCTCTAGTCGGCTTTGCTGTTGGAGGACACCACTACGTCCAAATCGCCAACGTATCCAGTGGCAGGAAACCGCTGTCCTTTTAACACCCCCACAACTCATCAAAAAATAGCTTTCATAAAGCTGGACCAAGTACTGATTCTTGAGGACATTCTCTCTCTCTCTCTGAAAGCTTCTGTTTAAAAAGAACTACCACGAACGTTTACACGTATATCCTGTAAGGAGCTTCTTATGAAGACATAGTAGTTGCTGGGAGCATCATATTTCTGTAGCTGCTGGAGCAAAAGAGGACACCAGACGTTGTTGAATGCGGAGGATATGTCAAATATCATGAACATGATATAGCCCACCGTCCTCAGTTCAACGTCCTCACGTACTCTCAGCAGAGCATCAGCGGTTCCCTTCCCCTTAGTGGAACCGTATTGCTTTGGATGACTTACTCTCACAAGAACTGCTACTAGACTGATCATGATAAGGTTCTCCAGGACCTTACTCATCACAGAGAGGAGACATATGGGCCTATAGGAGGAGCTGCTTATCTCTATTCCCTCCCTTGTAGAGGAGTCTCAAATCGGTTCCAGCTTTTGGGAAAGTATTCAACCAATTTTCCCTCCAGTTTCGATCGGAAGGTATTCCAATCTGCCCTTCGGATTAGATAACCCTTGACAATACCGTTGGAAATTTCTGAATTTTCCAATAGCCTGAAGGATATCGAATGGTGGTCGAAAATTGTCTCAGATCGGAGGGTCCAATCAACGATGAGATTAGCTCTTAATGGCGTTGCCGTCAATCCAACTCTGCCCCGTAGTGCTAGAGAATGTAGAAGTAGCACAGCGATTGTTTAATACTACTAACTGGCTCCCGGAAATAAATTCGCCTAACTTTGTGAATCTTCTATTCGTTTGATTGGATCCCCAGACCGTGTTCCAGGAGTTGGTATCTGAACATATGATCACATTCGTGGTGGTAGTGATCATCTCCATGGTGAATATGTCTTCGTCAATATCGTTACTATTTGGTAGGTAGGCTGATACCCGCGTAAAAGCCACATTACCCCATTTCAAATAGCAAGCGACGGAATCCCCCATGGCATACTGTCATTTCATATCCATCACATCGAGGTTCGGGTTATTAATCACAATAGCAGCCCTCGGCCTTCTCTCTCCACTGCTAAGGTGATAACCCAGGATGTGATGAGGCCAAACCCCGTGACTATGTTCCCGCGGCAGGTCAGTTCTTGGACTGCCATTATGTCGTATCGTTGGGAGAGACAACAAGTTCGTCTGCCATAATGCGTCGGCGTCCTATTTTGAGCTGGAGGATGCTAATCTTACTCATAGAAGATCCTTTTAGCTTCCTCTTTAGCCCACTGTAGATGCACAGGACATTCTCTGCTACCAGCCTTGTGTTTCCTTTTAGCATTTGAATTGTGTTTCCTTTTGGCAATTTATGCAGGTAGGGATAGCCGGTTCTCTTTTCTTTGGACATTCTTTAATTACATTACCACTAGCTAAACACCAAATGAAGATTACTGCATGTACTGTACACCTGGCTTTGGTGTTACCGTAGCCCTGACATCTGCTGCTTCTAGGAACGTCAACCTAATATTTAGATCTGTTCTCAATTACTCGTTCCTTCTCTATCCCCTCATGATCCCGAAATCCTTTCTGTACTTCTTTTCATCTATAATGTTTCCCTCCAGAACTCATTTATTCCTACTTCTAGGAAAAAAACATTAGTCAGACCTATTAACAAACCCCCTTTCATCCTACTTCTCCCAACGTCTACCGTACGATCTACATTCTCTCTAACCTTTCCATACCTTTAGAAAGAATAGCTCAATCCTAAAATTCCGAATTCCTGGCAGACTCTAAACTCCTTGATAATCTCCAACACTTTAGTTATTTCATTGCTTTCGTCATCTACTTCCACAACCAATCCAAAATCTCCTTTTTTCCTCTCTTATTTTCTCCCATTTTGACTACGGCTGTGTGGTTTACGGTGGCATGCCGATCGTACTCGAGGACAGATTGAAACGACTTATGAACTATTCAAGATTTGTCTTTGGTACTTTTTTGAGGCGGTCTCATGTCCCTCCTTTACGACGAGTCAAAGTGGCTCTTTCATTATTTCCGCCAACAATATTTCCTAGGATCTTGTCTATGCCAAACGATCAACTCCCGACACGCTCCCTACATGTACAATTTTGCAGGTCAAACCCGTAGTCCACTCCCAGAATACTAAATCCCCTGTTTACGATCTTTATATCCCTTTCCATAGAACTAAAACATTTTAACATTTCTTTATTGCCCAATCTATTGCCTTCTGAAATTCCTCGGCGTTTGAAATCTACCATGCCTCTTCCTTGTCCACGTTCAAATACCTTCTTTACCAATTCCTCTGACTCTCTACAATCATGAAACAAATTCTATGAATCGAATTTCAATTGAAGTCAAACTTTTTGTTTTTGTTAAATTGTTTAAGTTGATGAGAATCAACTCATTATGTTTATAACATTCTGTTTTTTATTTAGGTTTTTCTTTTCATTTCAATTATGTCTTTTTGTTTTGTTTTTTTTTTCAAAATGTTTTCACTTTTAGTTGTTTATGTATTATCAATGAAGATATCGTATGTATTGTTTAATTTTTGTTAATGTAGTTTTTGGCCAGTTATGTTTTTTTTTTTTTTTGTTCACAATTCTTATTCTTAAGGGAACTTGTCCCAGAATAAAGTTGATTTTCTATTTATATATCTATAACAAAACTCATTAAGGACCTATAGCTCAATGAATGACAATTCTAGTCGAGCTACTATTTGAGTTCTGAAAAGATCAATTGGGCAGCCTAATAATTCTAAATGTAATAAATTTAGTTGAAATGTCTGTGCAATTTTATTTTAATTCTAAGCAGATATAAGTTATTAATTTATCTTGTATCGGTGTGATAGAAAATATCTAAAATGCTGATTTTTTAATTTTATTTTTACAACGTTGAATTAAAACGACCAAATATAAAAGAAATCAACATTTTTTCTTCAAATAAATAATTTCTTTAACAATGGCAGACTCTTGTCATTTATGTTTAAGTCAGTGGTATTGGTATTACCTCTTTGGATTAGAAGGAGCCCATTATGGAAACTGATTGCAGAATTTGAATTATTAGATTGTGATAACTGATTTATTTGAGTAGGATTGTATTCTTTATATTACTAATTAAATACATTTTTAGGTGACTATACTTTGCTGTTTACCTAACTTTTTGACAACTTGAAAGTTTCCTAAGAATTCTCTTCTTATCAGTAGTTTATTTATTGCTTAACAACGTAACTATTTTAAATTTAAATTTTACATCACAGTGGTTAAGATTACAGTGTTTGTAAAACAATATTTACTCTGAAAATAAAATGAAAAGTTTTATATCATTAAGTATAGTAGTTAGTGACAGTGGTAATATATGCAACCTATTGTAAACATTGTTTAGTCCAAAAAAGTTGTTTTAAACATTCTATATTTAAGTTATTGTATAAAGGACATTATTTTACCAAGATATGCCCTGCATAATTATAGTGAACCATATGTTTATTTTTGTATTGTAATTTAATTCTGATTAAATTCCTGAAAGAGTTGAAATGTTAGCCGAAGTATTGTGTCAAGATTTAGTTGAATCTTATAATGTGACAGTCTTGTTGAAATTGGGTTGCTGATAAATTAAGTTATTCTTTCTATTGTCATCGCAATATAGTATCAGTTGTAGCATATGTGACAGGAGTTAAAATATGAGTTTTAGTCACTTTCATCCTACTCTCAAGTCCTTTTTTTAAATATATCGGTGACACCCACTGACGAAGATTCATTTAATATAATTTGCTGAATTCCAGGTTGATTTGTAGTGATACATAATATTTGCTTTTTAATATTACTTAATTTTTGTTTTTATTTTATACTCCTATATGTGCCATCATTTTTAATAGCCTAATTTTAGGTGTAACAAGAATCAACACAAGCAGTTTAATTAAGATAAAAAGTATTTAAGAGTTTATTTGTTATATATTCTAAAATGTGCTAGTGAGAATGATTATGAAAGTGATGTGTACAATAAACAAATCGAAGATAGACAATGAAAACCTTATAACTCCGTTTTAGTAAATTTCACTAGGGAAAACAAAAGGTTAAAACAAATTTATTTACTGTAACTTACGACTGTAGTACAATCCTCAGTTATTTATAGAGCTGAAATATTTATGTAATTTCAAATCTTTGTATATAGAGCTCCAATAGAGTTAAGTGGTTGTTTATAGAGTTATATACATGTATTTATGTATAATTGTTATATATATATATATATATATATATATATATGTGTGTGTAGAGTTAAGTGGTTTAAGTAGACTGGTGGAGTTCTGAGGTTTTTATTCCCTACCATTTAAGTACTTTGACAAAATATCCACTTTCTTGCAGAAAAGTTGACCAAAATCACTACCATTCTCTTTCAACTTGCCTGTTTAGTGATGCTAAATTACTTTTTTAGGTATTGATGATGTAACCATTAAGATGGATGTGAAACAAGAAGTTAATAATTTATCATATGGTTCTGGTAAGTTCAAATTAGATTTTGTTTAATTTCTAATGCAATTTTATTAGTAGGGAATTTCAGCAAAATATATTTTGCTTTCAATTAATGAATTAAACTGTCTACTAGGACATTGGAACTTATGAAATGAACCACCTAAAAATGCAAAGCCATTTGATTAACTTTGAAAACTTGATCATGTGCAGTTGAAATTTCTATCTAATTTCCTTTTTCGTTGCCTGCAAACGAATATTACATCCTATTTCCTATTGTTGTTGTTTTTTACAACCCACAAGGAGTCTGGGCCTCCTGTAATGATTTCCACCAGTCCTGTCTTTGTGCTGCTGCTCTCCAGTTGTTCCCAAGATAAAGCGGGCGTCCAATGTCACACCATCATGCCATCGCAGCCTTGGGTGTCCATCTCTTCTTTTGGCTTCGATCTTCTCATCCAGGATCTTATAGGACTCATCCTAGCCACATGACCAGCCCACTGGAGCCCCAAACGTCCCACCTTTATAAAACGGATGATGTCCCTATCCTTGTACATGGTCATTATTTCGTGGTTTGTTTGCCTTCTTCAGGTTGGCCCCTCTGGATCATAGATTGGTCCCAAAATCCTCCTGAACACCTTCCTTTCGAAGCGGTGCAAGTCTTCCTCCAATGCCCTAATCAGCATCCACGCCTCTGCACCGTAGGTGAGAACAGACATAATTAGGGTTTTGTACAGTCACAGCTTTGGTGTTAAGGAGATTACTCTGCTTTTAAGCTGCGGGACTAGTCAAAAGTAACATCTGTTGGCTGCCTGTATTCTGTGTTTCTCTCACTGCATTGTCGCTCGTAGCCAGAGATCCCAAGTACATGAATTCGTTCACAGTATCGAATGTGTTTCTTTGAACTTGGATGCGTTCGGGTACTCTTCTTATAGCATTAGTGCTCATTTATTTAGTCTTGGACTGATTAACTTGCAGTCCGAACCGTGCAGCTGCTATCTCAAGGCTTAAGAAGGCTTCGCTCATGGCCGTAAAAGTCCTACCTATGATGTCGATATCATCAGTGTATCCAAGAAGCTGCACCGTGCGATTGAAAATGGTTCCACCAACCTGAATTTCTGACTGCCTAATGGCTCCTAGGGCAAAATTAAACAGTAGGCAGGCCAGCCCATCTCCCTGCCTTAAACTCTTGCAGCACTGGATGGATTCCATTGTTCAACAAATCAAACATACCAGTCCTCTAGGGACACCCATTTCTAACATCACCCTGAACAGTTCCTCTCTCAGTACACTTTCATACGCAGCCCAGAAATGGATATGGTGGGTTCGAATATATTCACGGGCTTTCTCCAACATCATTCTCAGAGAGAAAATCTGATCAGTCGTTCTTTTTCCCCTCATAAAACCTGCTTGATACTTTCCTATTTCTCTCTCGGCAAAAGGAAAGAGCCTAAGAGGAATAGTATTCGTGAGAGTATTTTGTAGGTGCATGACAAATGAGAAATCCCTCATAGTTTCCACATTCAAGAACTTTTTGTTTATTGGGCAGATTACGGTTTTATACCAGTCTGATGGGATTCTTTCCCCTTCCTAAATTCCTATGATTATTCGGAGCAGGACTTTAGTAAGTTCTTGGCTACCACACTTGATGATCTTAGCAGATAAGCCATCTGCGTCGGGAGCCTTGTTGTTGTTGTTCTTACATTAATAAATAAATACAAATCAGTAAAGAAAATCTTTTTAAGTTTCATATTGGGGTCAACTGATTTTGTTTCTTTATAAATTACATAGTTACTTTTAATAATTCGGGTATTAGATTAGTCAACGGGAAGGGGAAGGGGAGCGAAATGTTATCATAGGCATATATGGACCTAATGATGATACTTCTGCTGGGGATAAAGATAAATTCTTTGAGGATTTGAGACAAGAGTTCTTCAGGCATATGATATAATGCCTGAGCTGTAAGAGGACTGTATTCACATGCTACAGAAAGAATCAAATTCAAAGATGGTCTAACAAAGGAATTTCAAATCACTAAAGTTTCTCGCTTTCCCTCTGCTGTATATATATGAATATATATGTGTTAAAAGTATTTTTAACCTATATAAAAGAAGGTGTAATGGTAAAAAAATATTCGTTGATAATGAATGTCTGTACTATTACCAATTTGTCGATGACCAGGTCATTATTGCAATTGATGAAGAAGATGCTTCCTCTATGATCAGGAAGCTGCTGAAAGCCCATACTGCAGGAGGCCTGGAAATCGGTAAAACTAAAAATGATTATATGGCATTCTGTAATAGTGGAAACTCCTCACTAAACGTTGGGGAATATAATTTGACCTCAACTAAGCAATTTAAATATTTAGGTAGGTTCGTTTTAAAGGGAGCAACAGCAAAAAAGACATTTATGAAAAGATTATCAGAGATAAAAAAAGTCATACGAACTTTAGATTCTGTACTGTGGAACAAGAGACAAACGAAAAAGAGACTACCATTCATTTCTTTCAAGCACTACATTATATGCCTCAGAAACTTGCACCTTTTCAATCCACTCAGCTAGATAACTGTTGTCAATGGAAATGGATTTTTGGAAACAGCAGAATATCTAGACTAAAACACATTCCAAATAACCCCATTAGGGAAACAGTGAAAGAACCATTTAACATTCTGTACTCTATTGAGAGCTCATTTGGTTTGGGCCCATTATGAGAATGGTGGACAATCCATGGCCTAAAAGGATCCTTAAACATGTACTATTGGAAAGGAGGAAATGAGGTCGACCAGAAAAGAGATGGATGGAAGGTATTCCTGAAGCAAGAGGACTCTGAGAGAAAGACTTGATAAAAAGAAATGGAGACAGAGCTAAGACATTTACCCATAAAGTGTTGTTATAAAGTAATTTATATATATATATATATATATATATATATATATATATATATATATATATATATATATTTATAGGATTAGTCAATTTCAGTGGTTGACTTCTGGAGAGACAAACTCATAATCTAATTTTGAATTTTTATTTTATTGGAAAATAAGGTCATAAATATAACATATAATATAAATATAACCTTTTGAAATGTTTGTTGTCAAATCATTCTATGTGCGTTTGTCGACAGCTATAAGTATTTTTCCTGTTTTAAATTAAAATATCTATCTTTTTCTCAGGTATAGAAGAAGGAACTCTTAAATTGGAAATAAAACAAGAAGTTGATAACTGGACTCCTGTGTTAAGTGGTGGGTTCTATTTTATTTTATTTTTATATTTTTTTAATTTATATCATTTAATTATTTATTAATCATTTTATTATTAAACAATTAATAATTAATAAAACTATTAGTTTGCATCCAGTGAACAAAGTCATTTTACATTCATTCAATTGAAACTAACATCATTTTGTTTTTTGTTTGATCTTCCAACTGCTTCCATCAGTGCCAAATAAAATTACTGTAAATATAATTACCAATATATACATATATTACAATATGTCATTATAATCTTGTAATTTACATATAAATTTGTAAATAATCAATGAAATAATCAAGTGATTTCGAAAATTAAAGGAAATAACTAAATGATTATTGAAACTTAGTGCCACACAAATTCCTAATAATGATCGAGGTATGTATGATTATATGTAAATTTTATCTATCACATCACATTTTTATATTTAAAAGATTTATATGTTATTTATAAAGTACTTAAATTATTCTATCAATATTAAATTGCTTTTCAGGTATTGAAGATGTAGGCATTAAGATTGAGATTAAACAAGAAATAGATGAATTTTCTGTATTGTCTTGTGAGTAATTTTTTTTTTTTTAAATAACTGATTTTAATTAAAAATACATTTATTGATTTAAAAACATTTATTCAAGATATTTTTTATAAAATTGTGGCAAAGTCTTGAGAGGATTATTGCGTTCAGGTTGACCACTCGTAGATATGTTTTGATATTTTAAGCGAAACCTGTTCTGCAGTTTGGTGGCTAAAATGATTCAGTGAATTCCTGTGGGTATTATTAAACAATTAGAGCTAAAAGCACTACCAAATTATTGTATAAAATATTGAAATTATCATGTTTTTTTTCCCCTTCCTTGCCTTTTAGACTATACGGGATTTTTCCTGGACCGGGGGAAAAGCAGGGAAATTATGTTGAGTTAAAAGTCCTACAGGGATTTGAATTGGTAATTGTTTTTCTATCTTAAACTTCAGTTATTAGGTTGCCAGGCAACACATAGTACTGTGCACACGTATTAGCCTGCTCGGCCACTCCACCCCATATTGAAATTATCTGTTGAAAGATATGAAATACATTTTCGAGCAAATAGATCAAACTTGACCTATTTTAAGTTTGATGGTTCAAATTATTCATTGAAATCTGATATATGTTTCCAAACAATTGGAGCTCAAAATACAGAATAAAATATTTTATTTTAAATTCTCTCAATTTTTTTAACCCTTTCGACTACATCATTGCATGTTAATATCCAAAAGAATCTTTAATTATGTTGGCCGTTGGAAGGCACACGACCACTATACCTCGTGTAATTCATCATTATGACATGATGCAATGTTTAAAAAAGAATGTAAATAAATGATAATTTCTAAAAAAAAAGAACTACGAAACCAAGATAAATATTCATAGATATCAACTTCAGTTATAATCTACCACATACATACAAGTACTTAAATGTTTTACTTCAATTTTAATTGTGATATAAATAATTTAGATTGTTAAAATAATGAAAGAAAGTTTAGCTGAACAGAAACTGATACAGAGGCACACCTTAACTCTTTCAGTGAAACAGTGTAAGGATAGAGAGGTTATCTTAATCCTAACTAACAATTTTTTTTATTGTTTTTTTTTCTATTTCGGTCTTTTCATAATTACTTTTATTACTGATTTTCAATAATGAGTCAATTAATTTATAAGCAATTTATTAAAAGAATTGATCCTCAAATTTTGAGGTTTTATTTGTCAATATAAGTAGCATCCGAAATCAAAATAAATCTTTAACATTTAACCGAAACTTTTTCATATGTGCCACCAAAGTCTCAGCTCACCACATTGTAGTTAATTATTGCATATTTAGAAAAGTCTTTAAAATTTGGGATTTTTAAACATCAAAATTGCTAGACACCTTGATAGAAATAGATTGATAATATGATGGTCAGTTAAAAATAGCCCTTTATATCTCTTAAGCTACACATTTTAGGATTTACTGAGTCCAAAACAGTGATGATCTCAGTCTAGGCGATGAATGTTATGAGTATGCAAAAATCGGCACCGCGATTTCGTGGCTTTCCCCCTCCACCCTCTCCCTCTAGCCTAAACCTACCACATTTGGAGGTGGCAACATCCAGTTTTCTAGTCAGTAGGACATTCCAGACAAGAATCTGAGAGAAACTACGGTAAGGATTTTTTCATACTCTAATCGCAGACACCACCTAGACTTACAGCTGTCTTATTGAATTATTGTTAATGTTGTTTACATTAGTTAATGTTTATTTTGAATTTAAAAACACTGTTAGTAGATTCACAATTTTTCCTTTTAACAATAACTTTCATAAAACAATTGCTTATTTCAGCTATTTTATTGATGACTTTAATACTTTTTCAGTATATTTTTAATTGTTTTTATAATATAAAAAGTGTGCCTGTTGCAATAACATATTATGGATTATTTCAGGTTTCAATGAACAGGAAAGTGTTGTAGACAGTTCGATGCTGACAGCTAGCAAAGGTATATCTTATTAAAATGTAAGGCTCAAAGACAAAAATATATTAGATATTATAGAATGCTATAATATACCTTGGTCAGTTACTGAAGGCTGAGCTAATGAAGAGTGGGGTATGGCAATAGAGTGGAGAAGTGGGGAGAGCTTTACTAGCTGGCCAAGGTATAGTTCCGTCACTACAAACATTCTTAGTTTATCATTTTATACTCATTGATTATCCGTCTATCACATATATTTATTTACTTCTTAGATACATAATAATTCAACTTGACTTTATGAGAAGGTTTTTAAAAAAACGAGTTTTTTCTAAAGTGCATGCTAACACTCCTAGCTGCAAGTTCTTGCTTTTATTGCTTCTCTACTGTGACACTGATCCTAGATATTTGAAATTGTTCACAATATTTAAACTCTGTCTATGTATTGGAATAAAAGGGTGCTTTTTCCTTTCATTTCGGAAGGATTCCATGTGTTTGGTATCATCTGTATTGATATGACAATCAAGTTTATGTGCAGCATCCACCAATTCTTGGAAAGTTCTAGATAATGATGTCAGGATTCTGCTTATAATAATAATCACATCATCTGTATAGGCTATTCGATAAGCTAATCTATTCATGATTGTTCCTCCAGAGTTTGTTCTGAAACATCTCACTACCATTTTGAAACCTAGTAAAATAATTTATTATTGGCAATAAGGGATAATGTTGTTCTAGATCACATTAAAACCCCTAAATAAGTTGTTCGTAATCTTCACTCCACACTTGATGTTTGATTGGTTCATCTTTTCGAGCTGTACCAGTTTCTATGGAAAACCCAAAATGTGCTAACTTTTTCAGCATTTCTCCTTATTTATTTGATTGTAAGCGTCCTTAAACATTAAGAAGAGCTATATCTCTGTAGTTTCCACATGCTAGTCTGTCCCCTTTCTTTGTATATTGGACATAACAGTGCAGTACTCCATTCTTGGAGTATCTATTCAGCCATCCAGATGTCATAAATTAGTCATTACATCCCATCAGTCACAGCATCACCATCAAACTTGAGTTTATCTTCTCGTTCATTGCTGATGCTGCCTAGTATCATGTTATTGCATTACCTCAGGGATCTTTTCCTCCAGGGATCTCTCGTGGTTCATGATCCAAGTTTATTCGAGAATTAAAGAGTTGCTGAAAATATTTAGCCCATATATGAAGAATAGCTTTTCGATCTCTAACTAGTTTTCCAAACTTATCTTTAGATAATTCCAGTCGGAGCTTATATTCTGATTTGAGATGTTTAATTCCATAGCAAAACTTCCTTGTCCCTTTGGTCAAAAATGAAGAATCTTTATTTTATAAATAAGAGCTATAACTAATTGTAAGCCCAACTGATATGCTTTTTTAAAATGATATTGTACATAAATATCAGTACCTTGAATAAGTTCTCGTCCTTTCCTAACAGATAGCAGCACCAGTACTATTTGCATTTCATTTTGATGGTGACACAATTTTCCAATAATTACTGTTGGTAAGCTTAGACTTCAGTGCATGTTAGTTCATCACATTGTAAACATTTTGTTTTGGAGTTCTAAAATTGTGCCAAATAAAGGGTATGTGAACAAAATTTCATTACTCTATTTTATTCAAAAGAAATCTGGAGTTGAAGCATACAGAAATCTTGTTGAGTCTTACACTGAGCAGGCCATATCAAAAAGGACATTTAGAGACTGGTTTTGATGCATCAAAAAATTGATTTTAATCTTAGAGATAGAGAATGCTGAGGCGCACTGAAAAAATTCAAAGACAAAGAATTGGAGGAATTACTTAGTGAAGACCTATATCAGAGACAGTTGAACTTGAAAAACCATTACTTGTAGATGATCCTACGATTTCTAAAAGTTTGAAAGTATTAGGAATTAATCAAGAAGCTAGGACGTGGAACGATCTTTTCTCACATGTGAACTGCTACTTCACCGCCTGAAAAGGAAAAGATTTTTTCACCATATCATGACTGGCAATAAAAAACGGACACAGTATGATGTAAATTATTTTATTTTATATTATTTTAAAGTGAACAAAACTATCATAGTTGAGCCCTAAAGGAAAATGACCACTACATGAGCTGAAACGATAAGGTGATTTTATTATTTGACAATACTCAACCATATGTTACAAAACTGCTAAAAACCTACCTGGAAACGCTTAAATCAGAAGTCCTGCCCAACCCACCACATTCACCGAATATAGCCCGTCCCGATTATCACTTATGTTATTCACTAGCACATGGCCTGGCTGAGCAGCGCCATTCTTATGAAGATACCAAAAATGGCTAGATTCTTAGATAGCCTTAACAGACAACATAGAATTCATATGATGCCAAAAAGATAGGTGAAAGCAGTGGCTAGTGATGGGAAATAAAGCATTGATTTTCATAAAATAACATTGAGAACTTATTTAAGGCCATATTTTGTTTAAATGAATGCATTGATTATAATGTTGATAGTTATAACTTCAATACTTTAACAGAATGTAATTTCACTCCATCAACTATTGGATTTAGTCCAAGAACTAGTAATAATTGTCCGAGACCATCAAAATATAACTCTGCCCATCCAGGATTAATTAGATGAGGAACTATATAAGAAGCATACACTAAATAATAAAATTACGTAATATTTGCATATTTTTTCTCTTTTGTACAATAAGTATGTCATATATAAAATAAATAAAACTCAATATGATCATTAATATCCATACTTCTAAAAAATTAGGATTGGACATTTCCGCGGTGATATATTTATTATATAATATATTTAGAAGGAGAAAGAGAAAGTTGGATCTTGTGTGCAGCTATAACTAATATGTCTCTATAAATTATGTAACTTATAAAGATAATTTGTTTTATTTTTTCAGGTAGTCAAGTTTCTTGTTACCACTGCAGTTTGAGTTTTAGCAAGATTAATGATCTCAGATTCCATATTAAGCATAAACACCTTAAAAACTTGCAAAAACATTACATTAACAAGCAAGTTCAATTGAAAATAAAACAATGCAAAGAAAAATATCAGTGTGTACTTTGTGACTACAGAACTTCCATTCAGTGCAACTTGACTAGACACCAATTAGCACTACATTCATTTTATAAAGCTCATCAGTGTAGTCACTGTGACTATAAAACTGGTCGCAGCGACTTACTGAAAATACATAACACTAGGCACCACACAGACAGCAGACCATTCCAGTGCCTTTACTGCGATTTTAGAACTGTTGAAGCTCGTAACTTGAAAAGACATATTAATAATAAACACAAACAAGTAAAAAATATAAAATGCAAGACAAGGTCTACCGTAAAGAATTTTGAATGCTTATTATGTGATTACAAGGCGTCATACATATCTGATGTAAATAGGCACATGAGTTCTAAGCATGGTGAAAAACAATACCAATGTTCATTGTGCAACTACAAAACTGGTTACAATATTAATTTAAAAAGGCATTTAACTGCATGTCATTCAAAAGACCGTCCATACAAATGCAAATGGTGTCATTTTAAAACTGCTATATCTAGTCACTTAAAAAGACACTTGAGGGGAAAAAAACATAAAGCACAGTTTGACTGATCCATACTTTAATGGATTTTATTTAATGTTGTGCCTTAAATAGAGTATATTTTATAAAACTAAATTGTTTCCTAAAACAGAAGTTTATTGGGAAACAGAAATTTTAAGTTACCAGATGTATAGATACCATATTGGAAGATATTAGTACTTTTTCATACGAGATAAAAACATTACTGTAAATTATTTGAGTACCAAAACAATTTATTTATTTTTATTTTTAGTTCTAACTCAAATAAACTATTGTTTTCTTAAATTTATAGCCTATATTTATTTATGTTCCTCAAAAAAACAAATACCTTAAAATAAATACAAACTTGATGAATTGTCTCAAAATTTTTGTGTTTATGTTGTACTTTTGTGGTGATAGTTTATACCTCAATTAAAATATTTTAAATATGAAATGCTGATTAATTTATCATTGAGGTGTTCACAAAATTACTATTTTTGAGTCCTGCTGCTAATTGGGCCATAAGGCAATATGTTCTGTTTATCTTATAGACTAAATTAAATTTGCTTCTTTAATTGTTAGTACTCAGTGAATTATATTAGTGCAATATTCTGTTTTGTGCCCAATGCCTGATGAGATTTCTTTAATAGCTTGTAGGCCACAGGTCAAAAAACAGCTGAATCCGTAGTATTTTAAGGTTATTTATGGATCAAAATCATATTAAGTATTTTTGTTCAGTTATGAGCTTGTGATACTGTTACTATTGGAAATGAGTGTTTATAAAGAATCATTTACTGTAGGTGACCATGCAAATTAAATTACTCCAATATCTATTTATTAAACCTTATCCTCACAAAAAAATTTAAGCCGTAGGATGATCATCAATTTTATTAATCAATATTGCCCAACATATCTTATATTTAATTTCCATCTAATGAGTTTAACTCTCTTCTATTTACTTTTTTAGATAGAATTTTTAAGCTTATAATTTTGCCATGAAAAACATTGATAAAAAGTAAGCAGTTTCTGATTTATTTTTTTAATTATTTGTTACTTTATTTGGGAAAAAATAATTAAGTATATAGTTGCGTACAATAGGTCTTGTATGCATGGCCGCAGTGCACTCATGCCGCTTTAAAAAAAAAAAAAAGTATATAGTAGATATTATGTTATCATAGGTGCTGTGCTAGAAAATACTATTGATTTTAAGATTGGTCAATAGCAATAACATAAGAGACCTTTATCTCTTATATTGGAAATTTCAAATAAATCTATATAAAAATGGAAAAGCTTTTAAAATTGATAATATTTTCAAAAATAGACCTATGAAAATATAGTAAAGGACCCTTTCATATAAGAAATCTGAAAAGTTCATATGAATTTGAAATGAATGGACGAGAAGTTCATATGAAGGCTTTATTCTACTTCCTGATGGCAATTCCTTCCTTGTGTTTTCCTTTTCCAAGTCTTCAGAACCAAAAATCCTTACATCTTAGCACTCCTTACTCTAGACTCCTCTATCCACTCTCTTAATATCAGATCTCAACATATAGACCCATACATTTCCTCCCATAAAACAACTTCTTTCAGCAAATCCTTCCTCATTTGTGTTATCTCCTTTTGGAACTCCTTACCTATGTCCATACGCCAAACCGCATCTACAAATTCCTTCAACAAACTCCTATTCTACCACCTACTATACATTCAAGTTTCTGCCAGCTTATAAGAATTTTTAGGCTATGTAAATACAATTGCTCACTACTAATACTTAAATGATAAAAAGCCTTTTTATTTTTTGTATATATCTGTATCATACCAACATGCCAAATTGAAATATATATTTTCTGAACTCTGTTATTATTCTGAGGGGACTTTAGCCCAGAATAAAATTAATTTTTCATTTCATGAATTGATGTCAATCATAAAATTTAAAGAATTTCAATAGCATACTAGTAAACAGTTATATTGAATAAATTTCCATAAAATTGATCTCTAAAAACTTAGTGTTTTATAACACAACAATAAACCCTTTCATTGAAACAGTCAATTAAAATAAATCGATTGGCTGATGTGATATATCATAATCAAGATTTTTTTTTTTAACTTAGCATAACTTCCTCACCACAAATGAAAAATTAAATATATTTATTAACTGATAAACTAACTATTAAATGAAATGAAATAAGTTTTTGTTCAGTAAATATTTTCATTGAATAATGAATAAAGTAACATTAATCAGATTTTTTTTCAATGAATTAGCAATAGATAATGTAATCTTAATGTTTATTAACAAATCTTATTAAAAGTGTCACCATAAAAATAGATTCTAACACCTTGAGCCATTAAAGAAAAATACATTTTTTATAGTTCATATTTGACATGTATAATATAAAAATAGATTAATCTATAGTGATAAATCCACAGAATCATATTTATTTTTTACATTCACATACCTATATATGAAATATATAATAAAGGAAAGTACTGCGATTGTGAAAATTTTTGAATCTCAGTTTTCAACTGAAATACACGTTTTGAGGTCCTCTGAGTCCAAATAACCAACTCCCGCCAAATAGTCTGTGTATGTGTTAACAGTCTAGCTCAAAAACGAAAAGCCGTACGAAAGTTTTATATGCTAGGGATGTTATAGCAACTTGTTCGTCAAAATCAGCAAACCAGAAATGGAACTTTATATTGTGGACTAAACACATTTTTACGATTTTCTTGAAAACGGCTCCAACGATTTTGATTAAATTCATTATATCAGTGTAAAATTAAACAGTTTTAAATAAAATGTAGCTTTTATTCTGATTTATCTTCTCTAACAGGGCTTAAATGCCTAATTTTTAATATTAGCTTCCCCTAAAGTACCTTTAATTTTATTTATTTGAAACAATTGACCATTTCTCTAATATAAAAGATAGTTAAATATAAAATATGAAAGAATTGTATAATTAACTAAAGGAGGAATAAGAAATCGTAACGGAGAATAGTTGTAATTGAGGGACCAATGAAATGCAAGCTCGCCCGAAAGACTATGACAGGCTTCCATACGTAACATGAGCTTAATATAATACGGGCTCCGATAATATTGTATAAATATACATATTAGGTTTTCATAAATGCTATTGTTAGTATTATTTAATATTTAATTGTATAGATTACACCGAAATAAATCTAGAAATTTGTATATATAAGGGTACTTATACAAATAAAAATACCTACAATGAAATATAAATAAATATAGAATTTATAATTTTTACTTTCACTTCCCCTTAGACTGAAAATACTTATTTTTGCTAAGAGGGTGGTAAGTAAAGTTTTGTGATGCACGCACCGCACCGCACCAGATTTTTTTTTATTATTACCTAAACTGATTATGTTAGTGAAAGATAAACCAAAAGTTTACCAAGTGAAATCCATTTAATGAATATGGTGGGAAGTTCATGATATAAAAATTAACTGTAGATTTCTAATTCTATATTATGGACTTTCTAAGAAGTCGCAAAAGTTTATTTAAAAATAAAACTATTAACAAAATCAAAAGAAACATTTATTCTTACATTAAATCAAGGCTTTGTATATACACAGTATAAAAATGTTTTTTAAAGAACATCATTTCTTCTTGAATCTTTCCCAGTATTTTTTAGCATCTTCAACTAAAACAAACAATGAAAACATGCTATATTAAAAAAACACAGCAAACTTCTTGTTATTGTTATTATATAATATAAAATTTGACATTGGGCATGGGGGTAACAATAATGCTGTAACCAGTAGCCTTGTCATGAAAAGGGGATCTAAGTTATATTAATTGGTGGGGTAGGTTTGGTTTTTTTCATGTACGAGATGTGACGGAAATGTAAAATCCAAATTTTCAACCTTAGCAGTCCCCCTGAATCACTTTAATATCCCAACATCTACTAAATATTTGTGCTGTTATCAGTTTTACCCCATTTTGACTATGAAGGATCACATTTTTTTAAAAAAACATTTACACTTTTAAATTAGATTAAATTTACTACAATTTGCAGCTAGAATAGGCTCAGTAAATCTAATAGGTTTCGAACTACATTACAGCTTTTCCAAATTTAAAAATTTTAAGCTATAATTATTTTCATGTTTTATCATGTGCAATTGTCTTTTGTCTTCAATAAACTGTCTGATACAAGTCAGTGAAATTAACATTTTGAAGGGTGTATGGAGGAGGACGGGAAGATTTGGTGGGAAAAGGGGAGTTCACTGTTCAGTCAGATGACAAAAATTGCAATACAAAATATATTTAATAAACATTTATATCATTTATGTACAAAAAGATTACTGGCTTTCATTGAAGTATTTAATTTAACGGTTTACAAATCTACGTTTAATAGTTCCTGTTATCATTCAATTGAATTATAATTCAACATAACGTTCTTAGAAAAAATAGCAAAATTAGTTTTTAGTAGTGACCCAATGTCTGAACGACCTTAGTCGAGTAGGGGGCGCTTTTTGGAGCCTCAGATACCCAGAAACAAAGACCATTTATAAAAGTATGATTGTAGGTATACTGAGGTATGCATCCCCTGCATGGAATTGGAATCTCTCGCACTGACAGAAGAGCAAGTTGGCTTCTCGAACTCCTCCTGAGAGAAGATATGTTCATATACATATATAAGAAAGAAGGTTCAGTAGGTCTACTGGAAAACCTCAAAGAAAGAATCAACGAAACCCCCAGAAAATGAAAATCTATTATCCGAGAGAATATAATTAAAGTGCGGAATCAACAGTGGGTGACAAGCCCGAAAGGGACCACTCTGAGGAAGTACTTCCCCACCGTTCAATCACATTTGGAAGTCAAATGGGTCCTCCCGGATTACTGGCTGTCGCAATTCCTTACTGGGCATGGGGGCTTTCGAGACAAGCTCCATGGATTTGGAAAAGATGTTGATCCTCTATGCCCTAGCTGTGGGATCCAGGAGACTGCTGAGCACATTATCATAAACTGCATCGCCTTTGAGTCGCTAAGGGCCAAATTGGTGAGGGATACCGGTTTCTATGTTCTCATAGAGACCGATTTCTCTCAGCTAGTTACGGAAGAAAACTACCCTTACTAAAAGAATTTGTTTATGGGTGGAAAGAAGCTATTGGACCCGCACACTTGAACTTCACAAGAAGAGGACCCACACGAGGGAGGCTGCCGGAACAAGGAGGAGCGGAATGAGGCAATAAACAACAAATCTAAATATGAACACTGGTCTCGTTGCAGAAGCAGGCAGTTATGCAGTGACGTGTAAAAACCCAGATCTGCAAAACCTGTATTGCCTCAATGGCATGGTAGGGTTCAAATAAATAAATAAAAGATTGATGTTGAAGTCTCCAGAAAGAACATTATTATTTATTATTTAAGATAAAAATAACTAATAGTAAGTTTAGAGATAGCATAAAAGTGTCAAGATTTTCCAAATTTCGATTCACTTTTCTTTTTTCATCTAGTTAAGGGTTAAACGGTTATCCAATGTTCAAACAATTTTCACACTGTTAAGAGATAGGCTAAGGCTAATAAAAAAGTAAGAATATTCTGATTTTTCAATCTATTTTATCTCATGAATGAATGATCAGTTTTCAACAATTTTACGACTGTTCAGAGTGATGATATAAGTGAAAGTGGAGAAAAAGTGTAAACAATTTTCTGAATTTTCAATAACTTTTCTTCTTTATCTGGTAAATAAATAATTGGTTTTTCACCATTAGAAAAATTTTCTGACTGATTAGAGACAGGCCATAGGAAATAGGAGTGTTAAAAATTGTCCAAGTTTTCATTTGTTTTTCCTCTTTTATATCATGAATGAGTCATCGGTTTTTCATCATTCAAACAATTTTTGAAATATTGAGATAGAAAAAAAAATGTTGAATTTCCATTTGGTTTTCTTATTTTATCTCATTAATAAATGATCGTTTTTTTAATATTCCAACTGTATAGAGGTATGCACAAGAAGATTGTGTTGAAGATTTTCTTAATTTTTATTCATTTTCATCTTGTACCTCAAGAATGAGTCATCGGTTTTTTATTATTCAAACACAATTTCTAGACTTTTCTAGACACTAGAGTGTGGCTAAAATTTTGAGCACTGCTGTTTCCTTTGGCCTATCTATAAACAGTAAGAAAATTATTGGTTCAGTCAAAAACCCATGATCCATTCACAAGATAAAAGAAGAAAAGCAAATAATATTTTTACACATAAATATTTTTTACACCATTTTACTTTTAGGTAAGCTTGCTAAAAGAAATTTTTGATTAACTTAAAAGACAGTAGTTAATTTCAGATTATTTAAGCTAAAAGATAAAATAATTATTTGTTTAAAATACAAAGAAATCGTTTGTTATCTATTATTTAAGATATATTTGCCCTACACTGCATATAATAAATCATCATATGCTCTGTTGGTGATTAATTATACCCAACTTTAAGCCAGGTGTAACTCATGCCTCAACAAAAAAAACTTTTATGATACAAAAGCAGGAACTAATGGACAATATTTTATCCATTTCAAATGGTTTTGCACCTTTATCATACCACTGAAATGGTTAGTTCCCCATAAGTTAATTATAAAAAAGTACTACGAGTCTGAAACTTGCTAAAGTATAATGAATAAAAGGATAGTTGGGTTGATAAGTAAAGTAAAAATGGCAAAAATAAATAATATTATTTTACTTTGACTGATCACCCCACCCCAACTATCCTTTTCTTCATTATTCACTACTGTCAACCATCAACCCACAATTACTAAAGTATAATTAAATTAAATACAACATGAGAAAACTAGGATATATACTCTTTAGAAAATCTTTGAATTAAAACTTTAATCTTTGGTTCTTAATAAGCCACATATTATGTTTTCTTGGAAAATAAAAAAAATCATTTATGCAAAGATTTATACCTTGTACTAGCCTCTTTGTGAAGTGCACAGCACTAACCCTGGCACAGGATTCGCCATCATAATCAGGACCACAAAATTCACGAATGTTTTGTTGGTTTACTCTTGCTCGCCTTCCAGCAATAAATGAATTGATCATTTGGTCAACCTATAAATATATTTGCACTTAATTATAAAAAAAAAGTATGGAAGAAGAATGCTACTTAAAATTAAATATAATATTGTAAAACACTTTTTAACAAACAAACATTTTTTTTATACCAGCGCTATTTACCTTATAATAGCTTTATATCTTAAATGAGTTTGTCATTTTTCTATTGCTGAAACCCCCCTTTGGACTTTTTTTTTTTATTGGTCCATATTAGTTTAATTGTATGTATGTTAAATATTTATGTGTAAATATGTATGTGATCTATGGTAAATGCTTAAACAATCAATTCCCATTTTAAATTAGGATAAATCCCAAATCACCAATTTGAATTACGTATTTCCCATTCCACTATACCTTAATGTAATCGTGTGGTAGACGTAGTCTCCTCTGCACTGGAGCGCGGAATGTACTGTACGGGAATCTTTTTCGACATTGAACAGACATTTGATAGAGTTAGGCACCCGGGTCTGTTGTACAAACTCCAAAAATTCCTACCATCTACATACTTCCTCATTATCTGTTCCTACCTACTGAGAGATCCTTTAAAGTAAATTACGCCTATTCATCCCTTTTTTTCCAGTCCGCTGGTGTTCCTCAAGGTTGTATCCTAGGTCCTATCCTTTATACAGTTTATTCAGCTGACATCCCTACCTATCCCAATACTGTCATCACCACATATGCCAATGACACATGTAATCTATCAGTAAATAATGACCCATCAATTGCATCCCAAATGCTTCAATCACATATCATAAATTTTGAAGAATGGTGTCAAAACTTGAGAATTAAAATAAACTCCAATAAACTCCACCAAATTACCTTTACCTTTCTTCGTAAACCAATGACTTTCGGTCCTACAGTTTCTTTTAACAATACTCCTCTTATCCCTGTTGAGGAAATCCGTTACCTAGGACTCCACCTGGACCAAAGACTAAATTGAAATCCTCATACCAGACTGAAATGACAAGAAATCGCTTGATGTTTCCGATTACTTCAGCACTTACTAGACAAACGCTCTAAACTTCCAATTAATCACAAAAGACTCATATACATGACTATAATAAGGTCTATTTGGACTTATGGAGTTGAGCAATGCGGCTCCACTAAACCATCAAATTCCTTTCGTATCTAATCCTTACAATCCAAAATCCTTCGTAAAATCCTCAATGCTCTCTACTTTCTTACAAATAAAACCATCCATAATGACCTCAATGTTTTTTATGTTTCAGATCTGGCCCCATCCAGATACATATCCTTCCATAATAAACTTCAGAATCATCCCAACCCTCTCGTTTCTAACCTTGCTTCCTCTTGAATTCCTGATCACCCTCCGAGGCATCTAAAATGAAGATGGCCCCATGATCTCCTAATGTAGACATATAATTAGAGTTCTACCATTGGGTAGCAGCAAGTGTTTTCACGTCATTATATCCATATATTCAAATTTACTAAATGTATTTCTTTAATACAGTTGTAAAATCATTAAGAAATAATAAAAAAATAAAATAATAAAAAAATTAGGATGTATGAACAGCAACTATATGTAAGCACATGTCAATAATAAATAAAATAAATTTATTTCCAAAAGTATTACAATTGTTCCTGTAATTTATAAATAAAAAAAAAGGTCTACCTAATCAAAACTGACCAAGCTCCTCAATTAGAATCTGCATGGATGGAAAATTGTTCAAGAAAATATATTTTATTTTCCATTTTTGTTTGTATCTTCTATATATAATACTTGATATTTTAACTACATTATCACCCACTATATCTCTGATATCATCTTTTTATTTCTGTACCAGGCAACTTATTCTTATTTTATATCTACTTATATTCATTTATTTGCACCATGTATGGTATCTTTTGTAGCCCTAATGAAGACCTGCGAAGTGGGTCAAAACGTCAGCAAAAATTAAATAATTCAACTTGTTTAATTTAGTATTAATTTGACCGCACCCCCCGATCAACTCCTCATAAAATATATTTTAAATGTATGAAGGAGAAAGACCAATACAAAAAACGTGTACAGCTATGTTGCATGAAAAATGATTAACCTAGGAAAAAATAAGGTTCCAAATCAATTATTATTTGGGAATGTGTGTGTAATTTACAGTCCTGAACTTTAATACAACATTTGGAAAATTATAAAGCATTCCCTTACTTCAGCTTTAGTTGCGTTAATCTGTACTAAATGAGCTGGAGCAACATAGGGATCATCATCAGAGTCGCTAGAGTCTTCAACATAACTGGGTTGAGCCATCTATAACATGATACCGTTATATTTAATAATATGAAATATATTACAAAAATAGTCAGAAGTACATAAAGATTGATGGTACTAGGTCATAAATGTCACATATCTTATTTACAAATGTCATTAATAATTGACATATTAACCCAAACTATCTCTAGACCGTGTCCATTAAACTGTAGAACCAATTTTCAATTTAGAGTAATGTTGGCCACAATGTTCGGAGGTGGGCTAGCTCAAGCAATAAAATAATGACAAGTTTTTTTTCAGTTGATGGTGATTCCTTACCAAGCAGAGGTCCGTGTTACTATAATTGGATCCTTTTCATTTTATCTTCAAATACCTTCCATAATTTATTTGTAAGTAAGGTATAGAAATCATTAGCATCAATAGAGCTTTGGACACACACAGCTATATACAGGATTCTATGTAATGTGATCTTGACCCACCAGTCAACAATACCTTTTATTGTTAGACCAGACATTTTGAAGATAATTTATAAATTACATCTAAAATGGATTTGCAATACTTTACTAACTGAATCATCTCAGTAACAAAGTGGTAGTAAAATTCTAGAGTACCCTTAATATTTTCTAACACAGTGAAATAACATTAAAAATAATAACAATTGTAATCTAATATGACATTACTTTTGTAGAAGGGAAAAGGAAAAGTGATAACACTTTCATCTGTATCAGCTGAACATTCAAAAGGCATTTAGGATTATAAGTTACCTATGTACTTAACTTATTTTTAAAGTACTAATACCTTCTGCTCTTCAGATATTATCTCAACACAAGAAGTTACTTCCACTTCATCATCGATCCCTACAATATCACAATCAATATCATCCTGAAAACAAGAAAATAAATATCATAAAAGAACTAATTTTCTTGTATAAATATTGTATTTGCAATCATATTAAACCATTTACAATAATTCGTAAATCTATAAATAACAAATATCCAAAAATATAATTAATTTAAACGAAGGTTCTATAACAAAACATAAATAAAACATTTAATCTGGCTAATATTATTTCAACGTATAAACAACAATCAAAATGTAATTTTATGATGAAAATAAAATACTTACCATTGTAAACTAAACTTGTCACATATACACGACACTTTAAAACCAGACTATCACAAAAATATATTTTCAAATTAAACAAAGGCACCACCAAAACAAACTAGAATCCTGCAAAGAGGTAGGAGTACATATAGCAACATTGTTCGCAACAAATCAACACTTTAGAACTAGAATGTTCTAACTAAAACAAATCGAGAAAAAATTAGTTTTTACCTTGACATATAGAATGGTGTAAAAAAAGTCTTAGAACAAACCAAATATTAAAAAAATGATAAATTTTTAATTTAAAAGTGTTTTTATCTTCTTCAATGAAAACTTGTCTGAATAGATGTGACAAATGTATTTGAATTTGCATTATTTTCAATTAAAAACAAGCCAATATTCCAATCTGTTGTTTTAGTTTTTCTTCATCCTCTGAATAATGTAACCTTATTGTTTAAATTTCAAAAGTTCGTTTTCCCCACCAGTCTTTATTGTTATAGTTAAAGTCCTGAGGTCTCCAACTCTAGGGACACAACCCCAAACCATTAGGAATCCATCTCTAGCATTTCAAATATTATCATTGAATCATACTTTTAATCCGAGTAGTCATGTTGCTTGTGAGTTTCAATATTTTTTTTCTAGGTCCAAAACGACAGTTAACTAACTAAAAAGGCACGATATACTGTTGACAACAATACAAAAGTCAGAAGTTCATATTATAATCCTGAATTGTAGATACTGGGCGTTAGTCCAGCGGCAAGGAAACCACTCATAAATATCACCTGGATTAATAAAAGAATAAGTGTATTGAGTAAGAGGTTGTTGGTTTAATTCCACTATTTTAAGTTTATTTTGATGATTCTCAATCCAAACTGGACCCTTCCTCAATATACAGCAGTCAAATATTGAGTATTCAACACAATTGTTAATGTTTATGCACCAACCGCAGATAAAGATTAAAAGGTGAAGAATGATTTCTACGATCAATTAGAAAATGTGGACTATCTCAAAAATGACATAAAATTAGGCAAAGCATAAAGATAACCAGTTTAAATACCAAGGTATTCAGCAAGTGACAAACTTAAACTATAGAAATTCTTCCATCAAAATTGCTTCGATAGCCTATATGACAATTTTAGTCATTAATTTTGTCATAAAAATATATAAAATGAATAAAAATACACCAACATAAATAAAGTATTGACAAAAAAAAAATTGTTTACCATAAAAATAATCTTGATGTTTTTCACTTGGTCAAGCATTTTGTAACTATTTCACTCCAAGATTCATAAATTTGATTGTTAACAGCAGCACTTCTATATGTGTGCCGCTCACGAGTCGCAGTTACCAAACTACAGCTCGACAGAAATTCAACATCAAAATAATGATAAATTTTGTTTAAAAAAATAAATTATTTGCAGGGGCTAAACTCTAAACATAACAAAAACCTTGTAAATGATAAGTTAAATTCTGTTGTTTTTCGAATAATATTAATTCTTGGTGTACGTTCAATTTTCAAATTTGAGCACAGATAAGAAAACACATTTCTTTTTAAGTTTAAGATAACACTTCATACTTAATTCTTTAGAAAATATGAAGGACATTGGATTAGAATCTGTACCATATAGTAAAATGTTGATCTGGCACTGGTTGGTTTTGATTGATAACAACTGGTTTGAATTACTTGATTGACAGGTCTATTTTCAATGATTGAAAATACTGGTAATTTATTTCACTGACAAATAAAATATAAGTATCCTGTAAAAAGAAATAATATTTCAATCTTAATGTATCTACAGTTATGACAAAGCATTTGTACAATTTTATAAGTGATGTTAGCGTATATAGGAGGTGAGAGTTTTTATTGCATGTCATTCATCTGATTTCGTTCTTGAGTTAAAAATAGCTAGTAATTGTTTAATTTGTTAACATTTTTGTGTATATCGCTTTAACTAGTTGTCAGCGTATTTTTCGTTTTGTTAAAAAGCGTTATCCCCTTCCCTTAAGCAAAACTACTTTGGGCTAAATACCAAAAACTCTGATATAAAATTAAAGAAAATGATTTATACAATACCTTCAAAAACAGTTTGTTTGTTTTTTTCTCCCCGCGTTACTGTGTGCTTTGCCACGCGTTCCCTTTCTTTTTGTTCATATGACATTATATTGAATTATCCTTATTCATTATTTTTGATGTTCTTATACCTAGTACTCGAGAATGCTAAATATAAACAAATTGATGCACACCGCCTGATTATGTTATTTTGTTTGATCACCTAGATCTTTGCCCGCTCAATGTGACTTTCTTCTAAATGGATATTCCTTGTAGAACAACAAACAGTTTAATAACAGAAGAGGAGAACAGCCAACCTCACGCTGCTACAGTTTATGGCATAGGTGAGAAACCTTCTCTTCTTCCTTAGTGCCTTTCAGCATGGAGGGGCCTCCACCAATTTACGCCAGTCATCACGGTCTCTCACCAGGTCTCTCATGTGAGCCAAGAGTTCGCCTCTTTTTTGTCCGAACTTCGTCACTTCGTCAATCCAAGTTTTCCGTGAACGTTCTCTTGGCCTCTTTTCGGCCTCTTCGGTCTTGCCTCAAAAAATTTTCTTTGTTCCATGTCCTTGTCCATCCTCATAACATGGCCGAACGATTTGAGCGTTTTCTTTTCCACGGTTTCCAGCATTGGTGGCACCTTAACATTTTCTCTAATCCGTTCGTTTCAAATGCAATCTCTTCTAGTTCGGCCAACTACTCTTCTCAGATATTTCATTTCGGCAGCGGTAAGTCTACTTTTGTGCCTATCTAGAAGGACCCAACTCTCACTACCGCATAGTAGGGTTAGAGTTGGTAGAGTGTATTGTATATATGGATCTTAGTTATATTTTCCACCTCTCGTTTTCCTGAGACCGTGTTGCAGATCTTGTAATAGATCCCATTTGCTTTTTTGATCCTGTTTGATATCTCTTGGTCTATTTTTCCATTTCTACCAACAACTGTCCCTAAGTATGTATATTCCTCTCCCAACTTCAAATTGTTACCCCGCAATCGCTTGCTGTAATTTTGTGGATGAGTCTGTTATGAGGACAATATTATCTGCGTAAATGAGAGCTTGGGCTAAAATTGTTCTCATATTCCAGTTTCCTATAATTGTTCTTCCAGTCCTTTACAGATTTCAATATATATATAAAATATATAATATAATATAATATTAATATATAATATAATAATTATATATAATATAATAATTATATATAATATATAATATATATATATATATATATATATATATATATATATATATATATATATATATATATATATATATATATATATATATATATATATATATTTTACAGATACAATATATAGTAGGGGGCTGAGACTGTCGCCTTGTTTGAACCCTTTGTCCATATTAAAGCTGTTTGATATCTTCCCATTGATCCTTATTATACCTTTAGAATCTTTTTATGTCTATTTTATTGCTTGGATAAGGTCTCCTGAGATGTTCTTTTTTTTCAGTGCATTCCATATTTCTTCCCTTGGCACCGAATCAAAAGCTGCTTTTATATCTAAAAAGGCCACATACATATTTTTGTCACGTTCCCATAATTTGATCTGAAAGCTACCTATTCTCCTTCCAATTGATTTTCCACCAAGCCTCTCAATCTTCTCTCAAGAATCGATGTATACAGTTTACGTTATTTTAACTCTTTATTCCCTTATACGCAGTCAGTACATTTTGTTGGACCTCACAATATCTCAATTTTCTATTTAACTATTCTATTTACAATATCCTAACGTTTGTATTTATATCTATTTCTTATATAACTTCAGATTCCTTTTCACTATTTTACATTTTATTCTAAGATTATCATTTTAGTACCTATGTTATCTTTTTTTTTTTATTATGTTTACTTCATTATTCCAAACTTTTTGGCCATTATTATTATTTATTTATTTATTCTTGTTATTGCCATCATTCTACCTACTTTATTTAAATTCAATGTTCACTTATCTACTTCATTTTACTTTATTATTTTTTTTTTTACCTACATTGTTTATGTCTCTCACACCAATTGTTATCTGGTTCTTTTCTCAGCCTTGATGAAGGTCTGAATTTCGGGTTGAAACGTCGGCAAATGTTAAAATAAATATTATTATTTATTTTTGCCATTTTTATTTTGTCTTATCATCCCAACTAGCCTTCTCTTCATTATTCACTACAGTCAACTACCAACCCACAATTAAAAATTAATTTTTACACTCGTACTCCAAAGCAATTAATTTTTAATTGATTGCATAACTTGGATCTCATTTCCTTGGCCACTATACAATATAAAACTGGTTTTGTTTTAAAATATTGAAGTTTGAAACTTAATATCATTGGATTTGAATGATGAAAATATACAAATTTATACTTGAGCTTTCCTGAAGATATGAATACATTAGTGCCAAAACATATACTTATTCTTTGTTTTTTCCTTTTGCATTACCAAATAAACGATTTGTCGACTGTGATACGAAGCTGTTGGCAGATTTCTTTGTTACTGTAGAGGTTCTTGATAATATTTATGGGGCATAAATCGCCCTCCTGATTCCAAGCATCATTATTCTCATCTTCGTAAAAACATTGCCAGTGAAAGTAGCGTTACAAAGGTAGTAGTTTGTTTACAATTATACTTGATGTGGTCGGCTCCATGTATTCCCTTGTTCAGAGTTTTCTCAAACTAAAACTATTCAAAAATATGATTCTCTTCGAAAATGTATAACCCTGTCAAAAATTCAGAAGAACTTGCCCTCTCAAATATTTTGATGATGAAATAGTCTTTAGGAGTACACTGTACGTCAGGTCAAAAAAGACCGAAAATAGCTTCACGTAACTTGTAGATAGCTAATGTCAGTGATGTTTCGAATCAGATTTTCTATTTTCTTGCTATGAGAGCTAATCTTATAATTTTAAGAAAAATGGAAAAAAAAAACTAGTATCTCTACAACCCATGAAGGGTTCTTGAGTTCAGTACTACAATATTTAAGGAAAGTACTATTTCTTAGTCAACAGTTGTGCAAGGAGGTTATTTGACCGAGATCATGATAAATCGCCAGATTTTTTCCCTTAGTCAATTATTTAATTAAGGTTACCTACTTTATAGAGGCAGCGTGTGCCCCCAGGAGGATTTCCCGACCTCATCGATAGCCCACGGTCGATAAAACAGAATAAATAATTTATCTGCCTTAAGCCGGGATTCGAACCTGGGGTGTTGAGCATTGGAATATCAGCGCTCTACCACTGAGCTACTTGACTTCAATAATTTTAAGAAGGCTGAATGAAAAACATTAATTGGGAAAATTGTATTTCCGTATATCTAAATCATAAATACATATTTATATGTTTTCGGGAAACCATTTTTAAAAGCTATAATGGCTATTGCCATAAAATATGACATCACTAATTATTCAGTGTCATGGCCGAATTAATATAGATATCCCATCAGGAGCTTGGCTCAGTCAGTGGATTGCGGGTCCTTTCGAGACGATACAACTCCCATTAACACAAGAAGGGTAGAAGATACCTTTCAATGTTTCAAATTTAACAGTTAAATCATCATTGTTTTTAATTAAATCATTATATTTTTCTCACAAATCTGAGTTTAGTTAGCTATTGAGAGACAAGATGTCTATATATAGGAAACCAACTGTTCCTTTGGAAGAGGCCCTTAATATAGCAGGTATTCTTTTAAAATTAATATTTTGTTTTAATATGGAAAAAAATATAGTTTTAGTAGATGATACTATGAAGTATGAGAGTTTTAAATTAGAACAGATTGTTATAGAACTCAGTTTTTGTTCTAAGATTCAGTACAAGATTTATATATCCTTGGGAACAGTTCCATTTTAAAATTTATCATTATCATAGTCTGATAAAAACAATTAAAACATTATGTTTTTAAAAGAATCACATTTAACAATATTATAATGAGAGATGGGAATGAAAGATATTTTGAAGGATGTGCTATATTTAGAAAATAAAGGTTGAAATCATTTTTTTTTTTAACCAAAATTAATACTAACTATTGTTTCGAATCGTATGATACTTCAGGCGATTGATTGTTTTTCAATTGTCTAGGCATAATCAGATAAACTAGGAATAGCGATAACTTTAGCGCATAAGAATTGATTCAGAGATTTTTTCGAAATCCTGAAAAAGTAATTTATTCCATCTCATATATCAAACTTTATAAGATTTAAGACTAGAATTTATTTCACAAACTGTTAATTTTGAGTTTTTAAAAAATAATATTTTTCCTTACCTACCCATCACAATACAATATATAACAAACTAAAACCTTAATAAAAATAAAGCAAAACTTTATTTAATTTAGTGAAGATTACTATAAATTTATTTGAACATTTTATGAAAACAAAATGCATGTTTCATTGAAGACACCTCTAATATCGAGATAAAATATTATTTTAAAACACTCCATTTCCATTGATGAGTTCATTCATTACTATATTGCTTACATTAGTAATTTATGTGTAATTAGGTTCTATTATTAAATTTTGTTCTATTTCAAATTATTGTTCAGACTGAATATAGCAAAACATTTATTTTTATAAGAAATTTGGATTCTATTCAATGTAAAGTTTTAATTAATTTCGCAAAAATAGGTTTTAGTTTTCTCAGAAACTAATGAAATGGTGTCTGTAGGAGATTTTGTAAACGACATGGGAGAGTAAAAATATTGTATATGATATTAAAAAATAAATAGAAATTTTAATAATTTTACTATAATACATTTATATGATCAGATATTGTCAAATATCAGTCAAAATGAGATTACTACACTTTTGTCTTTTATTATGCTTACATCGTTTGCATAAATATATATATGTTAAAAATAATAGATTTTTCAAATATTTAACATCTAAAGTGAATATGAAAAATGTGTTTTTTTACTGAGATCTCTATTACAAGAATTGATCAGTATTTATATGTGACCAACGAATTGTTCCTACCCCAAATATTTATGCTTTTATGAAAATAATTACCAAGCAAGCCCTCCCCTCTCTTTAAATTTTATAAAATCATTCACACCTCATCAAATTTATATTAAAAACCGTATATGAGAAATTCGTTTGAAAAGAAAACCTATGAACTTCATCTCAGATAGGCTTGCTGAATGACTAGGTTATCTCTTTATTTTATTACTAGATTAAAAAAAAAATATATTTAGTCATAACTGCTGCTAAAGAAATTTCCACCAAGGACATGATATAACTATCAACAACATCGTTAATTATAGCATCAAATGCATAAAATCGAAATCCTTTGCTTGATTATCCAATTATATTTAATTATCCAAATCACAATAACCCTCCGCAATTTTATTAACCATGCAATGATTGATTACCACGAAGGATTATTCTAAAATAAATTTGATTATAATTATTACCCGCAAAAGTAGAAACAGCAACTACCAAAGACGGACCAGAAATCAAATAAGAAAATTTAACTAAAGATATTTTAATTTCATCAATTCTCACAAACAGCATTATAAACCCGAGTTTCAATAGAAATCCAAGTTCTTATGTCCTCCGAGTCCATATGAAAAAGTATTAAGAAAAGTTCTGTGTGTGTATGTATATCTAGTTCAAAAACGAAACTGAAATTATGTAGTTAAGGTAAATATGTGCCTACGATGTAACGCCAACTTTTTTCCTAAAATCAAGATACTGAAAGTTTTATTCAACTTTTATTTTCAAAAACGGCTCTAGTGATTTTTAGACTGAACTCATTTTATCGATTTACAATCGAATGGACTTAGATTATATACGAAGTATTATTGCCATTGAAATAGTCAGGCATGGAATAAATGCCAAATTTTCCAAATGATTAGGATGCATTCGGGAATTGAAAATAACTAAGAACCGAACGCCCTTGCAGTAATGATTAAGAAAGAAATAACATATTAGATAGTAGAAGGAAAATGCTTAATAGTCTAAAGGGAAAATAAATGTTAAATAAAAGAGCTGATGAATCAGTTGTATTGTAATGCAAGTTTATGAGTTAAAATGTAAAACGTAAATAACAGTATATTAATTTGCATGCAATTATCAATTTTCTTTTATCGATGTTTTGAAAATTATAGTCCATTCATAAAACTGGTGTATGTGTATATAAAAATCTAGTGCGCACCACACACAACTTTCATTTACCGCTCAACTTTGAATAGAAATTATTTTCTGGCCATGTTGGAGCTATTATAAAATTTTTGAATTGCATTTTTAACCAAGCTAAAGCTAAAACATTACAGCTAACAAATCATAAATACCATTAAAATAACAAAAGTCCTATTTATTATATCACCGGTTGATTATGGATTGCACGATCCGTTGATTATGGTATTGTACGACTATTAGTTATAGTAGTAATAAACTGGTATTTTCCATTGCAAAGTTTACTAAAACGGAATTAAGGGATTTGCATTATCTGTCATAGATAAGTCAAAAGTTGTCACACTAATTGTATGTGGATACTATTGGAATATCACAAAAGGAAATTTCATCATACTATTCACTAATTTGATTTTCTAAAAGGTTACTTAATTTTTTTTCGGTATCATCTGTTTATTTATTTTATAGATATCTATATATTTAAATGTAATATCAGATCTAGAATTATTAAACTATAGTAAATATATTTAAGGTTATAAACGTATCTATGAAATATTTTTAAATTTCACTGCATCTTTCACACAAGTACAATGAAATAGTATTGGATATTGTTGGAATTTCACAATGGGAAGATTCATCAAATTATTCATTGATTTAATCTTCTAAGAAGTAACATGAATATTTTTCGGAATAAACCTTAATACCTAATATTTAAATATAATATCAGATCTATAATCACTAAACTACAATAAATGTATTTAAGGTTATAAACATACGCTTTATACCTCCATGAAATCATTTTATACTTTACTTCTTCTTTCACACGAGTATAACAAATAGTTTTTAAAAAATTTCATTGCCTTGATCAGGTGGATTTTAAATACTTTTTCAAACTTTAAAATATTTTAAAGATTTACATATAGTAAGAAAATTTCATCTAATTTCCTTGAAAACATGTGATTTACGTTAAGTAAAATTAGTTTTATGAAATTATTATTTATAATGTTTTCGCAGCTCTCCGTTACCTTTTACAACTTTCTATATTAGATATTGTTTTTTCTAAAACTTTCAGCTTTTGAATGATATATTTAGCATTTTTTCATACCTTTTAATAATGGGAGATGATTAATTATTCAAAATAAACCATATTAAAGGTACTTTAGAGGAAGACGCATATGAACATTGGGCATTTAAATCCTGTAAAGTGACATCAAATACCTGATTGATATTAAATACCAATTCATTATACAATGATACACCGACTTTATCAAAATCATTAGAGCCGTTTTTGAGAAAATCATAAAAATGTTTTTCAGCGTTGATATAAAGTGGCACTTTCGGTCAGCCGATTTTAAGGAAAAAGTTGCCAGGACATCTATGGCATGCATATACCTATCTTAAATACGTAATATCAGTTTCGTACAACTTTTCGTTTTCGAGCTATACTGCTAACATATACACACAGACCATTTTTCGGGACTTGGTCATTTCGACTCAGGATACCTCAAAACGTGTATTTCCGTTGATAACTCAGATTCAAAAATTTTCTAGATCGCAATAGTTACCCTTACTATATATTACATATACACGTAAGTGAAAGTAAAAATTACAGCTAACAGATCATAAACACCATTAAATTAACAAAAGTTTTGTTTATTATATCATTATGAATCATATGAAATTATATCATTATCATTAAGACGCATATGAAAATTGGGCTTTGATTGTGTTGATTCATGACATTTATAGTTTCCGAAAGTAAATGTTGTTTAAATTTCTAAATTTAAAACAGAAATTGTTTAAATTTCTGGCATCAATTTTAAAATTTACTTCCATATCAAGGCTCTTGGATATATAAAGTGCCTCCAAGTAGTTTATAAGAAAATTTGGATAAATTTAGAATGAATTGCTTCAATTATTCACTTTTTAAATTTATATATAATTTATTCAAGTCATCGTTAGGCCTAATATTTTGCGCTGGGAACTCTTTTCGTATAATAATGCTCGGTTTATTTATTTTTCTGATGGATCTATTTTATTGAGTCATGTAACATACTGTCTCATTAAAAATAATAGTTATAACGAGAATCGATTTCAGATCGATTATAAATCTATCTTTAAAAGTGAGTAAAAGAATTATATTTTTGTATAATGAAATTATAGGGTAAGAAAACGTAATAAACATTACAGAGTATAATATTGCACTGAAGAAGTTGCGAGAAATCATTGAAGGTAGTAAAAAAACAGGTATTCAGCCAATGAAGATCAAACGATGGAGCAACGAAAAGAAAATATGAATATTGAATAAAGTAGTGACAAATTGTGTTGCGGGTGCACCCTAAAATTTCTCAACAAGACATTAAATAATTTAGCAAAAAAAGGATCAGATGGTAGCCAAGATTGTACTCTCTGAATCAATAAAAAAAAAAAAAAAAATGATCACAGATAAGGTTTTTTTTGTTTGTTTTTTTCTAACGAATGTTGATTTCGACTTTTTCGTCGTGAGTCAACTTTAGCAGTTTTTGGGGCTTTTATAGACAACAGTAGTGATCGTTTTGTTGTCTCATCTTAGAGATATCCAAGTATCCATGGAGCACGTGGTTTACAAACCATCTTCATCAGAAACTTTCCTGAAGGATGGATGACAATCTTTTGCAGCAATCTTCCACCTAATTTTTATCAGATATGTGATTATTAGCGCTATACCTAATCCCCAACCTGGAGGGCCTGGATCTATGGTGTAAGACACAGCGGTCGCTCACATATCTATGAATCTCAGTGTCTGGACGTTACAGACTCCATGCGGGATTCGAAACCGCGCCGTAGTGGTCCAAGTAGTCGAGTAAGACCTACATTTATTAATTTTTAATTTATTATTAATTTTTTGTTTCCGCAGACGGAATTTGAACACTTGATAAACAATTTTTGCAATGGGATTTTAAATTCTCCGGCCTTACCCTCCGGCCCGAGAAAATCCCGTATAGACTAAAAGGCAAGGTAGGGAAGAACAGAAAAAAAAAAAAGTTTTCTAAGACGTGAGCACCAATATTGGTGCTTCGCGTTGAAATCACCTTCAGCTATGAAACACTACCCTAGACTTTGGAAAAAGTCGCAAAACATCGAAGATGTCACCACGTATCTTGGATGACAGTAAACTGAAGCCTGTGCTTATTTTGTGTTTATTGTGCTTCATATATATTGAAATACCCGTGGATTGAATGTCAGTTGTAGAGGTAAATGGAAATGGTTGTGTGATAGTGACGCTCTAATAAGTATAGCTGTGCCTGCGTGTGCTGTATTGTCAGGGTAGTCTATTCTGTGTGCCGTATAATCAGAAATACCAAATTTGGATCGTGGTGTAATGTGCTTCTCTGTTATCAGGACAACGTCTATACGTTTTTCGTGACGATATACATCACTTGAATTTCATAGAAGCTTAAATTCAATCGATTAATTTCACGTAAGTTTGAAATTATAAACTTCTACGTAAGATAAAAGTATAAAGAAATTTACTTAGCTTTATAGTCATAGCGGTTATTTGAGTAAAAAAATGTGCCATAGTTTAGAACTAGCGCTCTCGCTCAAACTGCACCGGCTTTAGCACCAATGAGGCGGTTGAGAGAGTAGCGCAGGGATTTGGGTTCCCCGCCTGATTGTATATAGGTATTTTTATGTTTTTAATTTACTCATATTTAGGTTATTTCATTTTTTTATTGTATATAGTTTTTATTTATTATTATTTTACTTTTGTTAATTTTTTTTTTATGTATGTACGGTGTGAATGTGTTCATTTATCAATATAATTATTGTCCCCGTGACAGAATATTATATGTCTAAATAAAATATAAAAACTAAAATTTAGAACTTTTTTTTTTTTATTGAATATCTCGTAAAGGTAATGTAAACATGAAAGTAATATATTTTTTCCTACTCAGGTACTGGACTTTATACCAACTACGTTACCATCACAACAGGTGCCATCTACTTCTGTGCTCTGTTGTCATGCCAGGCCATAGCCATTGTCATTCCTGCAATAGGTTGTGATCTTAAACTCTCCAACTCCGTAAAAGGAGCTATGGCATCGATGACATTTACGGGTAAATATAAATATGCATACTTCATTCCAGATTCAGTCTTAGAGAACATGTACATATTTTACAGTCTCTCCAGCATAGCCATTTGTAAGAACTAAGTAGCCTTATGTACATGGGACAGCCTTAGCACTTGCTCATTACGACAGTTTTCGAGGGGCAAGAAAATTGGATATGTCAAAAAATAGGACAAGTGGATTGAAGAACGGAAAAAATAATTTCATGTACGTTGATAATTTATTTTCCAAAAGTACATGTCACATATACTTGCCATTTTGTATCGGCATGTATTATGTAACAGCAAGTAAAGGCCATTTAAAGGCCGACAAAAATTGTGTAGTATTCAAGGGCTTGTCTGTTCCAGATTGACTGTAAGGTAAAGTGGTCGAGAGGCCAGGATATTTTTTTTTAAAGTGAGTCACCTTCCGAATATTACATCAACAACAGTTTCTTAACCCATTCATATCCTACGCCCAGTAGCTGATCTAGACCTTATGGAGTCTTGTGCTTTATGAATGAAATTCGTTGACAAATAATAACGCTCTAAACAGAACCAAAGGTTAATTTAGATATACCTAACTACTGCAGTATGTCTGAAACAAATTACTTCAAAAATAGTTTTAAACATCTTTTCATTAATGGGTGTCATACAGCCGAATCAAACTATGAGACAATTATTAAAAAACAAATATCCTGCCTATTTTAATATTAGCATTTAGCATAAGGTGGAAATTTAGAAGGACTCGAAAAAAAAAATCTGTCTAGAGCACAAGTTAACATACATGAGAGTATCTATGTGGCCATTAAACCTTATACTAGGTATATCAAGACGATGCTTGGTAGGTTACTCCTTATTTTAATCTATTAACGTACGAAACGCCACTACCAAGTTATACGAATTCCAAATTCACTTTCTTGTGCTTCTGTTTAAAATACAAAAAATCTAAGGTTGGTTTAACTTATGACGAATCCGTAATATTCGTAAATAAAAATAAATACTTTCCAAAATATTAAACTTATTATAAAGGAAGGAGATGGTCCGGGGTGGCGGTCATAAATAGGCTGAATAGTGGCAAAACTATTTTATTAAAAGCCAACTTTTCGACCCGATTTTGCAGGTCTTCTTCAGGGAAGTGTGTTCAGCTAAGAGTTTCACTTAGAACTGGAGCTGGAGTTTCACTTCAGTTCTAAGTGAAACTCCTAGCCGAACACTGCTCCCTGAAGAAGACCTTTTAATAAAATAGTTTTGCCACTATTCAGCCTATTTATGACCGCAACCCCGGACCATCTCCTTTCTTTATAATGCAACGGGCAACTATTAAATATTCAATATGAACTTATTATAGTCTGTCCATAACTCATTATCGGTCTGTCCACTCTTTTCGGATTAAACATCTTTTTATTCATATGTAGTCAAACAAACGGCTCATTAGAATCATACGTAATTCGTTTAAGACAAATTATGACTCTAATACAAGCCTAATTACTGTTTATTATTCATTTGACGGAACTTCTTTTTAAGAGCTTGAATAAATAAAAGTTAAAGATTTGCTATATATCATGAACTTTATTACATAAAGGCTCCTTAGAAATTCTATTTTAAGAACTTTTTCCCCAAAAAGGATTCACAGAAACTGTTAAAATAGAACTTTTTTTAAAAGATCAATGAGAGTTTCAACCCCTGGTTTAATCAATCCAAATTCAGTTATAATATTCTCACTATTTCAATAAATTGTGTAGGTATGCTGTTTTCCGGACAGCTATTCGGCTTCTTGGCGGACAATTTCGGGCGGAAGAGTGTGGCACTGTACAGTCAGATAACGACTGCATTCTTGTTGACAGCTTGCGGGTTAACGCCCAACACTCCAACCATGATGGTCATGCTGTTCCTCAACGGTTTTGTGTAAGTTTGTCTATTGAGAATAATGCCTTACGCTTCTTGCTGGCAAAAGGTCAGGTAAAATGTTTATATTAAATTGTATATTTTTCTGTTTTATTGCCAAGTAATAAAATCTCTTGAACTTATGGGGAATTGGTCCTGGAACTATGAGTAAAACTTCATACGCAATTTACAGGAAATATGAGAATAAAATTAATAAAAAAAATATGAAATGATGATGAAGATTAAATAACGTATGAATATGAACGTAGAATAACGTAAATACAAATGTTGATTATAGAATTATTACAAATATAGAAAATATTGATTTGGGATATTTAAAATTAGTTCCAGTGTTATGAAAACAAACCCAAAATGTATTGATAATAATCTATTCTTGAAGCAATCATGAATTCAGAATTATATCCAGAAATCATGAGTATCCTCCCCGTCTCCTACGCAAACAAAAAGTAATTTAGAAGGAGAAAATGAGAATCATCATTGAAGGAAATTGTACATTACCTTATATTTGAATTGATATCCAGTCAATATGTCTCTAAATCGGTTACTTTATTTAAAGTTTTGAAAATAAAAAAAAATTCCCAACATGTACTGAGCCGACACTGGTTAAAAAAAACATTTTGGTTTTGCATTAATAAACTCAAAAAATGAAAATGTTACGCTTTTTCTATTTTGAAATGTAATTTTGTACTTTTACGATATGAAACGTAACGAAAAAGACAAAGAAAATATATTTCGAATTCGAATTTTTAACAAAAATGCAATAATGTCAGCACAAATAATCAAGCCTCACTAAACAGTCTGTGTGTGATTTCCAATCACTTGGTGAATTGGGAAAGTGGGGCAAAATGTCCCATCCAAGGCACAATAATTTAATTCGAGTGACCAATGAGGTGTGGGGCCTAGCGTTGTCTTGGTGGAACACAACACCCTTCCTATCATTCATAACTCTTCAGGATTTTCTCCAAACTCAATGTTATTATATCCTTTGGAAAGCTGAATTATTGCTTCTCAAAGCCGTATGAATGTTTTTTTGATTTAATGCCTACATAAGGAATAAATAAACAAAAACTTCTTATAGGTTGTTATTTTCTATCTCCTTTTGTAGCTTATTTTCGACGGTCCTGTTGATGGTATTTTGTATAGTTTATGTGGTCCTAAATTCCTGCTAAATTTCTTGTAAATAGCTAAAGTCCTATTAAAGTTATAAAATTATTTGTGATTTTCGAAAAGAAAATCATGTGAGGGACTCAAACATTAATCCTGGAAACAGAGCCGAGCTTGTGCAAATGGTTTTCTATGCTTGTGTGCAATGCATTTAGGGCCAGAGCCATACCAATCTCTCGTCCTGATTGGGTGGGATTTTGATCAATAATGGCATTAACATTGCTCGTTTCAATTCCATGTGGGCAGCCAGACCGTTGAGCATCATTAATGTCAAAACTTTCCTGAATGAAATTTGGCAAACCAATTTTGACAGGTGCATTCGGTTAAGGCTACAATAAGAGATCTTCTAGATCTATGGGAAAAATAAATGATCTGAGTTCTACCACATTTATCGATCTTCTAGATCTATGGGAAAAATAAATTATGTGAGTTCTACCACATTTATCGATATTAGAAAATTAAAACCCTGTTTTGGTAAATTTCACTAAAGAAAACAATAATAACTATTTATTCAAGATATATACAACTGTATTATAATATAAATACATTTAGTAAATGTGTACACAGGAATATAATCACATGGAAACGCTTCTTGAAAAACTACCCTCTGGTAGCACTCTAATAGAAAAAAAATAATATTTTCGAAAAAGATCCTTCTTTGACGTGAAAGTAAGAAAACAAAAATATCTTGACGTTTCGACTGCTGACATTCGTTCACAGTTCGTGCCGGACGCAGGAATCGAGTTTTTTTTTACTTTTTCGATCAATTTTAAAAGTCGATAAACGATCGTTCGACTTGTGGCCAGATATAACGCAAGTTCTCTGACTGTTTTCTTAAGGGGTTTCCTTCCACAGCTTCCTTAAGATCTTCGTCCTCGATTGATATTGGAGGCTATCAACGAATCTGACGTCTTTTGTCTTCAAGAAAATTTACAAAACCAACGACAAATGGTTATTCCCTTAGAACTCCCTTCAGCTTGAGCAATATTCTTTGCTGCCTGGACAGCGGAATGACCAAGTTTGAACTAATAGAAATATAAAAGAAACTCGCGTTTTTCCATTGTCACCTTTGAAATGAAACTAAAATCTGAAACCTACTTGGGAATTAAACAAATGCTGTAAGTAAATAGAGGATTAGAAAATATTCATTATAGCTGTGGCATCTGTGAATACTGGGTTAAGTGCGAAAATCATATTTTTAAAACAAATACAATTGAAAGTTTGGAATTTTCACAGACGAAAGTTCAATTTATAGTTTCGACCGATGATTCACAAAGGAATACTCGTCTCTGTAATAGTCGCATAACTTAATAACCCTCTAATAATCTAATAACCTAATAACCTATTAAACACACAAAAAAGAGAGAAATTTAGCTTTCTGGTGATACCATGAACATTCACAAAATTGAACTCAACACACTATTCACAGGTGCCGCAGATAGGTTGTAAATATTTTGCTGAGGATCGACAAACAGCGTTTTATTCGACCATAAACTTTATGTGTTTTATGTCCGAGAGCCTACGTGTGACAGGTTCAGGTGTGACAGCCCAATAGTATTATAGTCTTTTCATCAGTATCTTGGTCATGCCGAATCAAGCAACGTTCTTCCTATTGTGGAAAGCAACAAAGATATTATAATTTTTAAGGTGGTAAGGTATAAGAGATTTCTACCATAGATTGATTCCAACTTTTAGCCTATAAGTTAACGTTTGTTTTCACTCAGAGCATCTTCATCACAATTTTTTTTTTCATGTTACGTAGCCTCACTGGAGTTCTGACACCTGCCTATGTCTACGTCAGCGAGTTTACTGCGCTCAAAGACAGAGCCAAAGCCCTAGTCGCCCTCACGGCAATCGGTGCCTTAGCCAACGTGTACCTTCCAGGTGAGTTATTATCTTCTGCAGGCATATTGATATTGATTCATATTGATAAGGTATATTTAACAAATACAATCTAATATTAAATGATTAAAGAAATTAAATATACAGTACAGATATACAGTACAGAAGCCAGAACTGCATATTTTTTTTAAGTATCCAAAAGTTTCTTTCTTTATTATCCGAAGTTCTCAAGAGAATATATATCCTCCATCTACCTTCTCAACAGGTTTTGAGTTCGAATATAGGAATATGTTCGAAGACGAACATAAATAGCTATATTTTTTACCGAAATAAGAGAAGCTAAACGATATTTTTTTTTAATCAAATATTTTTTCAAAAAAATATGTCACGCTTACCTGATTCCAATCGTAATCGGAAACCTGATTACCATAACGTGAAATTGCTTGATAAAAATAACTATAACTCTAATTGTTGATTATGATTGTGCTCACCTATGCCTTAGTGGGTTTAGGCAGGAATCAAGAAACCTCTCGAAAGGTGTATATTATAGGGCTTTAAAACACTCTTTTTCTTTAAAACAAAATTTATCTCGTCTAGATGTGTCTACTATTGAAACCATCTCAGCTTTAAAACATACCAATTTTTTTAATGACTTTTATTAAATTTGTTAAATGAATTTAAGTTATCGAAATCGGAATTCAGAAGTTCTCTATAAAATTTCCATCTGTTTGATACCTCGTTCATCAAAATCCATAGCTCCTGAGTGTCGGAAAATAGATTTATTCTACCTCATCCCATACAGTCTAGATTAAGACAAAGATTAATCTTACATGCACCTAGCAATCAAAAACCTTTTGAATCTACCTTATTTTAGAAGGAATAATATATGTTAGTTAATTTGGCAACAACACGTTGACGCGTCCAGGGCTCCTAAACCAGCAATCTCCAGAAGTTTCTTTGAGCATCCAGTTGTGGATTCCCAAACCCCTCGCATCCTCAGCCACAAAGTAGATTCATGGAAGTTGGGGGCGACCAACTCTCCTCCGGCAATGGACTATCTACATCAGTAATATTTTAGGTGCTCCTGTTTCTCCATGCTTAGACCATATCGTTAATAAGTCCATCTTAGACGATATCGTTTGATAAGGCTAACAACGTCAGTCACGCCAAAGAGGTTGTAAACCTCTTCATTTGTTCTTCGTCCCCACTCTTCACCAACTAACAGCGGTCCGAAAATTTTTCGGAGGATCTTTCGTTTAAATGTGGCCAACTTCCGATATTGATACTTTTACCACTGTCCATGTCGCCACTCCATATGTAAGGGCTGAGCGAATCAGAGTTTTGTACAGAGAATTTTTTTTTTCTCATTATTAACCAGCTTGATAGATGTTGCCTCAATCCAAAGTACCATCTGTTCGCGGCTAATATCCTTCTTTCGATCTCTGCTTCCATGGCATTATCGCATGTGACCTGTGAGCCAAGATACGTAAATTCAGAGACCCATTTTGATACAATTTCCAAATTCCACCTTTTCCCCAGGATATCTTGGGTGCTGTTCAGCGATCATATCCTCCGGGGCGGCTTCCTAGGGAAGGTGATCCTAGGCTGTGTACTGTAGGTGACCTCGTGTACAGTGTGCTGTGCTTGTGTACTGTATATGTGTTAATGTGACTCCAGCTTTCGGCTGGGCGTTGAGGACGTCACATCCCTACTCCAAAAAATAATATATACACAACCGTATTAAGCACGGTAATAAATATTCTCATTTTGTGTCATTTTTACATTAGACATACTTAGTTTTTTCAATAAACATACATAAATAAATTTGCATCCTATGTTTTTAAAAACTTTTATACTTTGTCAGAATTATAAATTAATACGAATGAGAAGATATTTGTGGGTTACCGTCCCAGTGAGAAACACAAATTAATTTTCTTTTTTTTATTTTATCTTACACCGACTTTAGCTTAAACTGAGGCCGAAACGTCGGAAAACTTGGTGAGTATAGCACTGTGCTGCTATGCTTAATACCGGGTTCGAATTCTACTTTGAAAGGTAATTAATTATTTATTCTTAGGGTCACACCCAGTCTTTATAAAGTGGGTAATATTAATTAAAATAACTAATTCAGACGGAAAAATATGGTTGTTGAACGTGGATATCGGCCCGATCATCTCTCTAAACAACCGTTGGCCTTGAAACTTCATGGGTTATAGTTGTATAGATTTCATAAATGAATACTTTCAATAAACGTTCATTTAATTCATTAGCACTGCCAATGTCAAACCTTATCCATTTATTGAAGAACACGTTTTGATTTAAATGATATTCCCTTAGAGTGTTGAGATTGAATGACGGTCTACAAGTGTTCTTAATTTTATTTAAACTGTCCCGAACTTTTCCAAGCGCGGTGACTTCACTTCCTGGATTGGGATTCAATCAGAAATGACAATCCGATACCCTAGGATTGATTGTCTTGTAGCCTTGGCAATAAAATGCTCCGCTGACGGCTACCCTTGACTCCCATTCATTAGGTTACTCATTCTGTGACAAACGATTTTGACCACAAGTATTGTGCCATTAGAAGAAACATTCATCTTAAAATGTGTTCAATTCAATCGCTCCTAATTACCATCCTCATTATAAACGACTAGTCTTCCAAACGTTAACCCACAGGCCTTCATAATTAACATATCAATTGTCCGCAATTGAAGATAGCCTTCCAAGTGGACACGAAACACTTTTCAATTACAAGACCAACTTATAAAATGTCTAGGTAAGAAATTGTGCCTTGAATTGGCATTAAAATTTTGGTTTACTTTTTCTTTTCTTTTTTTACAATTAAAGTATATAGTAAATGTTGCATTTTTTTCATTTGTAAATAATAATTTAATTAATTAATATTGGCCACAGCTGACATACCCCAGAATATGATGAGGAGACTAAAAATCTCCTTCCTTAAACAACCTAAGTTACTGAAACGGAGGAAAGTGTTTTAAATTATTTTTCATAACTTGCGTATGCTAACTTCTAAATACACTTAATAACGCCTCATTAAAGTAAATGAATCCAAATGCTAACATATTACCTTTACACTCCGACGCAATTTCTGTCTACCAGTGCCAAGAAGGGGATTTTATGGTACAAGTTGCACCATCAAAATTTTTTTATGGTGGCACATTTTAACGAGGTTATGAATTTTCGGAATGAAGATTTTCAGAATAAGGGAAAAGAAGAAAACATGGGACAGACAGCAGCAAGTATGATTTACGATTTTTCTATTTCTACTTTCGCTTGCTCTGTTTTTAAAAGTGACCAATAAAATACCTTGTGAAGGGGGAGGAGAGGAATAAACTGTTGCACTGTCGATTTTAGGGGGATCGGCATCACTGCCACCAGTACACTTTAATTCCATCCAGCTTCCTTTCTCATACACAGTCCGTTGGAAATATGTTGGCTATCTCTGAGACAGACGATTAACGTGGAAACCTCATACTAGACTTATAAGACAGGAACTTAATCTACGATACAGCCTACTACTAAATAGAACATCTACACTTTTTATTAAAAACATACTGATCTACAAGACAATACCGAAACCTATTTGTCCTAGAACTTTTCCAAAACGAATTCTCTAAATTTCACCAAAACCTTACCTATCATCCGAATCCCCATGCACAGTTTCTATCTAACACCACCCATCCCTATAATCCTCCAAGAAGGTTAAAACGGCAGTTGCCTCGCGACCTTTTTAGTTTGTATATATTGGAGTTCTTTCAATGGCCAGATTCTCCGCTCATGACATGAGTGTATGTGGCCAAAGCACTCTCGCTCAATCTCCACTGGGTTTAGCCTTAGTGACGCGGTTGGGAGAGTAGTGCCTGGAGTCATGATTTTCCCTCGACAATTAGAGGGACAAGTCTGGCTCGGAGTTCCCTTGCCTGATTGTAAATAGCCTATACAGTTATGTATGTGTTCTTTTTTTTATTTTTAGATTATTTTATTCTTATTAATTGCATTTATATTATTTTTCTGTATAATTTATTTTTATTTATTGTACATAGAGGTTGAATGTGTGAAATGATCTCTGAACAATACTATAAATGTCCTTTTAGACAGATTTTAATATTATTTCTCAAAACAAAAAATATTGTCTAAATCCACAGTCTTGTTCTCCTTTGTTCTCCCGGCACATACTGAAAACACCTGAACTGGCCGTCTAGTTACCCAATTATTTTCTAGTTCGAATGTTACCCCAAACTGAAATTCATCGAAAATTTGATTCTTTCGAAAAATTAATATAACTCCCTAAAAATCAATCTTCCCCAAATCTATTGCTAGCGTATCATGCGCCCTTCATCCCTCTTCTGAACCAGAATCCTTTCCTTGGTAATAAAGCACTACAAACAATTAGTAGATAAATGGTTCAGCCATTTAAAAAAAACCGACAGCCTTTTTTGTTTGTTTTTTATTCAACGATGTTATTGACTTAGGTATGGCTTGGCTGATCATGCCGCTGGATATAAATATACACATCATTGGTGATATGAGGTTCACTTCATGGCGGCTGTTTATCATCCATCTCATTGTTCCAATATTACTTTCGACAGCGTTGCTCTGGAATCTGCCAGAAAGCCCCAAGTTTTTGATGAGCCAAGGAAAAGCACAGGAAACCGTGGACGTACTGAAGTCCGTTTTCGCACTAAACAATAATAGACGAAAGGAATCATTTCCAGTAGGTAACTCGAGGAAAGATAAATATATTATTTTCTATGCAATATTACCAAATAAATGTTGTGACTAGCTAACACAGGATTAACTTATCTAAATTTAGGTTTTAAGCATTTGCTTGGATGCCGATGATCTGACCTGTGCTAAGGTTGAAAGTAGCGGCAACCAGTTCATCAACTATTTCAAGATGATGATGAGCCAGACGTGCTTACTGTTCTCGAAGAAATATATCTTTTACACTCTGCTCTGTATTGCGCTCCTTTTTGGTGTAGTTGGAGGGTGAGTAAATTATTTTACGTAGTAAAATAATTTTATGTACGAGTAAATAAATTTACATGAATTATAACCCCACCCATTGTTCTTCTAAGGCCATTTTTCGTTTGTACCTGAACTCATTAAATTCAGTTCATTTAAAATGAATCGGCTCTTATGGTTTATAGGACCTTAATCAGTTAATTATACCCACTATTTATCACCAAGAAAGCGGAAACATCGGTTTTAAAATATATGCATAGTTGTTACGACATTTCAAGCAATTTTGTTTCATTTCGCAAATCGCTAACAATCGTCCTAAAAACATACATACCACATTGTTAAAAACGATTTGAACTTCTAAAATCCATTTTCAGACCTTGCCCCAACCTATCACTCCAGAAGTTATTGAGAATTTAACCCGCGGGAACGTTCATTTTTACAGTTTGGCCACTTAACCCTGATATATACCGTGTAATTATATTTTATTTTGACCTGTTTTTAGGAAGAGAGAGACGAATCAATTTTCTTGGGAAGGACCGCATGTACCATTAGCCTTGGGAGGATGAGCAACTCTCTAGGCTATAAAGGATCTTTGTTGAGGTTTAGAAATCGAATCTTATCCTAAAAGTGGAGAATTCTATATTATATCAAATATTCAGTGCTTATGAAGCCAATGAATTCCTGAACTGAGTTCATTTTTTCAAACTTTTTCCATCAAACTTTTTCCCAAACATCAACTGAAATGTTTGTATGTAATAATAATATAATGTACATTTTAAAATGAAAAGATCTATTCTTACACTAATTGAATATTCCATCCCATAAAAAATATGAATATATCCTACCAAAGGCCACTTCTTATTTATAATTCAGCTCATGCATTTTATATTAATATTTGAAATAATTTGAATTTATATTAATAATAATTTAAATAATTTGGACTCAGCCAATTGTTTCGATCTGCTTAATTGATTAATTTTCAGTCCAATCATATGGAAAGACTTACCTTCTTCAAAGGAAGTTTACAGTGCTCAAGGTTCTTGTGTATTGAAACATAGCAATAAAACACTTGATATAGCAGTAAAAAATATATCATTTTTAGTAATATTTTATACTACGTTATTGTTCATTATTGTTTAATCGCCAGGTTTAACTCGTTATTTCTGTGGTTCCCGGATGAAGTAAGTAGGATCAGACATTATTCTCAGAGTCATGACGAATACAACGTGACCCTCTGCGACATCATGTCCTCAAGAAGAACTGTCCAAGAGGTACCAAATTGTCAACTAAACTACAGCTTCTTCGCGGCAAACATAATCCTCGGTAGTACTCAGTTTATCACTTGTCTCATATCGAGTGTAGCTGCTGAAAAGATAGGAAGGAAACTTTATTTAAGTAAGAATGTTTATTTTAATTGTTTGAAATGTTTAAGAAATAATTCTGATGTATCCTATCATGAAATGTTTCTTTCAGTGATAGCAACGTCCATTTCGAGTTTGATATGCTTTAGTACTATATTCATCACCAATGAATACCTCACGATTGGATCACTTGGCATGATGACTCTGTTGTTGTACTTGGCGTTTCCGGTAACAGTAAGCGTGATGGTAGAATTCTTTCCAACCCCTTTGAGGTAAGTGAGGTAAGCCCGTTAAGCCTCATCTAGAGTAATTACCATTAGTAAAGAAAACCCGAATAAATCTAAGCACCTCATAAAATTAGATCGTCTATACTGCCATGAGCCAGGATTCGACTTCAGACCTTCAGCATTGGAAGCTAAGTGACCTACAACTGAGCTACCCCGCTCCCTGTAATTATTTAAGGGTGGTTTAATCTTTTATATGACTCGGAAATTATTGGGGTAAAAAATCTTCCATTCGATTAATTTTTTATTAAAAAAAAAAAATTAAAGTTTTTTTGTTGTTTGTTACGAATAGAGATTCATAATTCATGTTTCAGATAGGTAAGTAGTTGAATGTTGAAATTATTAGAATGAAAACAATTTTCATCAGTAAAGATATTTTGACCGCAAATTCTGACATTTTTGAAGTTAAAACTTCTTTAGGCACTTTTACGATTAATATAATTACCCTTTCCGTATTATTATATTTGAGTAGCGATTACCTTATTTCACCTTTTCCCATTTTTTTAATATAATATATATATTTATTTTATTTTATATTATTTTTAATTACTATTCACATAAGTTGGTATCTTTTTACTTTTCTACCTATATTAGGTAAGGAAAGTATTACAATCGGGTCAAATTTCCGATAGCGGTTTTCGACGGATCTATAAGTTTCAGAGCTCCCTGAGTCCGAAAAACACATTTTTAGCAATTGATCTGTCTGTCTGTCTGTGCCAAGATTTTCTCGAGAACTACTGATTTTGTTGCTTCTTTTTTATTTTGTAGGGTTTTGACTACTGATGCCTATGACAGAAATTCGGTGTTCCATGCGCAATAGCTTGCGCTCTATGAATAAAAAACATGTTTTTTTATAGACTGTAGCCCAAAAATGGCTCTAACGCCGTTTAGCCTGTCGTTTAAAAGGTAATGAATTTCGCTACAAAGCCATATAAAATCGTCCATTTTGGACAACTGTTACAAGACAGCGAAGTTACAGCTATTTAATTTCCAATATAAGATTACGGGTTCATTTCCTGGTGTCAGAAAGGGGTAAATAAGAGAATAAACATGACTAAGTGAAAGTAAGGAAATCTGTTGCTCGCATCACACAATCTTCACTATTTTCTCTACTTTTAACAGAATTTATTGTTTGACAATACTAAGCTATGGCAAAAATTTTTTGATCAGCAATAGTAGTAAGAATAGACATTTTTACACTGATCTACCTTAAGCCGATTTACATTGCTTTAGTTTATCAAATAAATCGTACTAAAATATTATGTTTGATCAAGTTTCAGGAAAATAAATCCAGGTCAATTCTTTTTTGTTTTTTCGTGAGCATATGTAAAGATATAAATACTTTTTTGAAATAGGTAGGAACGTCGTGTGTACACACCAGATATTTTTATTTCTTATTGTACAATCGGTCTTATGGCCAGAATTGATCACCTTCTGTTATCGTTGTTTTTAATGGACTTTTTCTCTGAATAAAGTTGATTTTTGTATTATATTCTAAATATTTTTTTTAATTTATTTATTTAGACATATAATATTCTGTTTCGTAGACAATAATTATAGTGATGTAAGAACATATTTACACCATATATACACAAAAATATTAAAATTAACAAAAGTAAAATAATAACTAAATAATAATAAAAAAAAACTATGTATAATAAAAAATAAAATAATCTAAAGATAAGTAAATTAAAAATATAAAAACACAGTCATACCTATATACAATATATGCAATCAGACTGGGAACCCCAAGCCAGGTTTCTCCCTCCAACTAAGAAGGAAAAGCAAAACTATAAGAGATCCCTGCGCTACTCTCTCAACCGCGTCACTGGTGCTGAAAACAGTATTCTATATTAAACGTAAAAACACTTACAGAAAGACTATGATCAGACCAGGATACACTCAACTGCCAATTTTTCGGATTGAAGGAACTCACTTTATAATGCAACAGAAAATAATAACTATGTGCCACATCGCTCTGAAATGCGGACCCAGTAGTTTGGTAGTTTCCTCCATAACAACCGAGCAAACCCATGATCCAAAATTTAATTAAATATCAAACGATTACCGAATAGTAGTAAATTATAATACAATCTATGTTATATTAAAAGTAAATATAAGCAGTTATACATTTATTCTTCTGGTTATCCGTTTAATTTTAATGTATATATTCACTTACATATCTTGATTGTGAACGTAACGTTTGATAAGATTCAACAGACAATAATATGGCTTTACAGTATGCTAAGTCTACAATTTCTATTTTAATAGCTATTTAGATATCACTGCCATTGTTGATACATAGATTTTTTTTTTCGCAATTAGATCTACTGCAACGTCCATCATTATGGTATTCGGCAGGCTGGGTGCCACTGTGGGAAGTCAAATGATGGGAGTACTCTATGCTAATTATTGTGAAGAAGGATACGTTGGAATGACGTTGATACTTGCTGGTTAGTATGATTGATATTAATATATATCTAATGTATCGTTTTTGATCATAACATTTTTTTTCTGATTTACATTTAAGCTTCCTTCGTCATTTGCATAATTCTACCTGTGAAGAAGTAACCATCAATTCAAAATATTGGATGCAGGTATAACTGTAACTTAAAAATAAATAAATATTTTTTTATATTATATATTTCCATTGTAAATAAAATAATTCGATTGTAAAAAGTATAATATATATATTTTTTTTATAAATTTGGTTTTATTTTACATCTCATTCTTACTATAAATCATAATTTTATAAAGCATCTTTCAAAAGTGACAAAAAACATACTTTAAGGCAGAAGTCCCAAATCTTTTTTTATTTATGTGAGGGCACATTTATAGATCATTAGTCAAGTGATGGCGACAATTTGTTTGTTTTTTATCCTGGATTTCCTAGGTTAATATTTTAATAATAGTAAAATAATAATTGCAATATAAGCAAATGTCATTGGTTAGTGCCCAATAATTTACGGAAATTATTGAAAATGAAAAAAAAAAATAAGGTGATAATCTGAAACAATAAAATTAGAGACAATCATACGAGTTCCTAACTATTGATAAACCACCTTGAATATAAAATTAATACCTTTTTATTTCTTTTAAATCGTTCTTCTTTTCTTTTTTTTTTTGTTGTTCTTAATCGCTATTTTCAAAGAAACACTATCATATATTCAAATAATCGTTTATCAGTTATTTAATTAAAAAATCGATGAAAAACAACAACGCGGGTCTCCTGCCTATGTATGCGCTTGCTATATGTATTAAATTGCTAAATGTATTGTTATATGACTCATTAAGACAACAACAAACTGTTAAGACGCAAGTTACGAAAAATCTGTAAGTTAATATTTGACTCTTGAGCATTAATATCAATAGTGATGGATGGTCTCGAGACGGGAAATGAAATATATGAGGATTCCTGGTCTTCTAAAATTTATGATATTTATATTCAGACAATCTGCATCACTAGTAACATTAAATCACTCAAAATCCGCATATTTACCTCAGAAAAACAAACCATGGGCAACATCTGAAAAAAAACAGAAGAAAATGTTCAAACATAACACGTAAGTTATTTACCCAAAATTTATTAAACGAAACAATGAGTTAAACAATTGTTTGTACATCTGGCTTTGTCTCATATGTAATATTAAATATTTCAGATCAGATTTATGTTATATCATAAACCAATAATAGCTCTCAACTGTTGAATAATGTAAATTAAATAAATAAGTACTGGTTTTAGACATCTACAGCTTTGCGAAGTATAAACAAACATCCAATGTTTGTATATTGTGAAGTTTTCCATTAGCGACTTTTTTTGCATACTAATAGATGTTAATTGGACATCGGTATTAAACTCAGTTTTTGATCCACAAATTCATTGAAAGAAAAAGACCTTGGTTCTGACAATCGACTCTAAGCCAATAACGCTACTCTATTATCTTTTTCATTGCCGCTTAAATATACACATTGTCTTCAATTAATGGTAAAAACGACCCATCTTGCACGTGTGAGTGGATATATCCATCATCATATTAGGTTGGTGCACCGTTTCGTTTCTTCTTTTAACATGGATCTGATGCACGAGACCACCTCAGCGGTTAGAATAACCACAAATGCGCAGGTGGGTAACCGCTTTTCTTCAAGCAAAAAACATTTAGTACTCATGAAATCCATTCTTCACAGAATCTATTTTGCATCTTCATCTATGTGACATCTTTTTCGGATGATAACATATCACCAGAGAATATAACATTCTGCTTGAACAGTTCCTACCGGACGCTGTTAAAGAGAGAGCTTCTGTCAAGCAGGTGGAGCATAACATATTTTCCTACTTCCTCTTCAACGCCATGGCACCATCAACAAGGCCTCAGTGGTTTCCTTACCTTTATTACATCTTTACTCCTGTTGATGGCTCACTCTTGAAAACACGAACAGGCCCGTGGGCTCATGACTATCAGATTTCCAATACTTTGTTTTTAATAGGAATGGATCCAGTCAGTTGGAAAGTACTCCCTCTGTCTAGGATATTGTTAAATATTTCCAACAATCTTTCCTCAATATAGGAGACACTATTCTTGAGGATTGCCGAGGCACTGATTTCGATACCTGGGGCACTACAAAGATCTCAGATTTCTCAGAGTGGACAGAATTCGGCATTTAGTCGGCATGCTGTAGCGCGTCTTACAAATGTCTCATCTTTATTATCCTTGGGACGGATCATCCCTGGGTAGGCCTCGCGATGAACCTCATCGCCATTTCATCCAGTTATCCAGGACCACTGTGCAAAAGATATCTCACTGATTCCTGGCTAATTTTCGACAATAAAATCGTTCTAAGGCCTTCTATTCCTAGATCGTAATTCATTTCAGTGTGCGGTTGGGGTACAATGCATCATCTGGGTTAAAAAACAACCTGTTATCCGTTATTTCTTATATCTCATCTTCGATTTATCTTGATAAAGCCAACTTTTCCTATTAACCGCTTATAGGAATAACTGGTTTTCAATTACTACTGTTTAATGAGGATCTCATACTACACATATCACACCACTAGACAACAAAGGTTTGCGATTATTAATTAATTATGGATGTTGAGGACGAAACCACTGGATAATGATTCATATGCCTCGTACAGACATAAAATGCTCATATAAAATAGTTTAACAGAACACGAAAAGGTAACAGCATGATAAAAGAATGTCATAAACCAACATATTAATTAGGTACTGTTTGTCGCTAAAATCTACGTCATGGATAGAGTCGTAAAGCAACTCTTTGCTTAAGTAATAGCTTTTTGTGCTATGATTCATTCTTGTCACATTGTTATTAAAACAAACAATATTATCAAGATAAAACCCAAAACAAATGATGAAATTGTTTCAAAACATAACTTTTTCAATGAAAAATAAAATGTCTGGTCACTGAAATACTTATAATTTCTTGATTTTCGTCTAAATATTATCATCCATCTTTTAATTCTAAAGTATCATTTAGGCAATTAGAAACGTTTAAATGAATCCTACAATATTTACTAGTTCATTACAAATTTTAGATTAGACAGGGTGGTAACACATCTTCTTACAGGAATGGTAACGCTCAGCACTGCCTTTTATCATTTATATGGCCATCTTTAGGATTTAAATATTTTGTATTTCTTAGCATATTCATTTTTTATTGTAACCATTAATACGTAAATAATATATTAATAACTAAGTAACTATGTTATATTTTTAAAAATGGTAAGCAAACGTTTTTTATGAACCTCGTGGTAAACTATGTTGACCTTCCCTTCCCCTGGGCATTAATTTTTGGATCCTCTGAGACTCTGGAGTAAGCGAAATTCAACAGAAACATCCTGACCCGCTGGGATACAAGGTAAAAGTACTCTATTCTAAATATAAAAAGTGTAATAAAAAAAAAAAAACTTACTTGAATTCGATGTATATCATAAAATTATATACATGTAAATAAAAAATTTTGAAAATAAATTATATTTTAAAATATAAAATAAAGTACCTCCATCATGCTATAAATGGAAAAATCCAAACTGCAAAGCCATGAGTCTCCAAGATACTGGTGAAGTGATAATTTGCAAACGTTTCGGCAGTTCAGGCATCGTCAGGACTGAAAAACCAAAATCACGTATATGCTGAATAAAAACTAAAATGAAAGAAAGAAAAAAACTATATTAGTAATAATTATTGCAGTAGACATCTCATGAAGCCATCCAAATGCATACTGGAAGAAAGAGAAGATTCTATCAACAACAGCTCAGGAATTTGATATAGAACAGTTGATTAGTTGTAATAAAAGGGGAAAATATATAGGTATAACTAAAGTATAATAATACAAAACGTGTTATATTAAATAAAAAATAAAATAAATAATAAATAGATTTTTAAACTCGAAGGAAAACATATGTTTATATATTATAATAAAAAATGTATTTTTATTCGAGTTTTTTTTTATTATTTAATGTAACACGTTTTGTAATATTATATTTTAGTTATACCTGAACATATTTTTCCCCTTTTATTACGTCTAATCATACACATTCCTGTATACAATATTTACATTCAGCCTGGGGAACCCTGATCTATGCTTTGCCGCTCATGTGAAAGGCAAAGCAGAGCTGAAAGAGATCTCAGCGCTTTTCTCCCAGCCGCATCACTGTTGAAAGTCAGTGGAGGTAATATAATTTTTTGTTTTAATTTTTGTCATTTTAATACATTTTTTTTTAAAGTATTTTAAATTTTTGTTATCATTTTATTGTATATAATTTTTACTTAGATGTTTTCTTCTTATTTTTTCTTTTCTCAATTTGTATATAATAGTATGAATGTACACACAGAGCCTTAATACCCAATGCCCTTGATTGAGGTAGATTGTATTATTATTAGTTAACATTAACATTCATATTGAATGTAGTTCAAAGTGATTTCCTTGAGCATCAAGACAGGCTTCGGCATCTTTCTTCAACAGCACCAATGGCAGAACGGCACAGGATATGTGTTATTGTTTCACAAGATTAAAAAAATTAAGGTCATTGACCGGACTTGATCAGTCATTTCCCATATCCCATATTACACGGTGGGCCAGACCCCCTTACCGTGCACCCCCCCCCCACATCCCTATAAATTGCATATCGTTGTGTTCCTTGTAACAATTTATTAAAAAAAAGCCAATGTTCCCACAAAAAAAAGTGAACGCACTGCCCCAAAATGGCGTCCAAAGATGGCGGATTGACGACTTTGACTTTAGTTAGTTTTTTGGTCACTGAGAATCAGCACTTGGCTTAATTTCCTCATAGTTGGTCTTTTATTAAAGCTGAATAGTCAAAGAATAATAAAACATGAAGAAATATAAAAAAATAATTGGCTTAAGTTATGAAAAACACCAGTAAAATCAACTTTTTTAACGAAAAAATTTTCAAGTTACAAATCAAGCGTCGTTTGTAATTAAACGGTCTACAATAACGCAAAACGTGCTGAAATAAACCATCTGGAGAATACATTTCTCTTTCTAAAACGCTGATTACTTTTTAAAATATTTGAAGCAGTTCCGTAGAAAATGCACTTATGCGGCAGAAAAGCGGTACTGGCGTGGGTGCCTGCACGCCTCTACCACACCATTCAGTACACATAAATGGCTTAGTTACAGTGATATAATAACATTTTTGGTACATTATATTGGTTTTATTAACGAACAAATATTAATGCAATAATTTAACTGTAAAAAAAAAAAATTAAAATAAAAACAAAATTATTATTTTTTTTTAATTTAACCTCCTTTATTCTATACGTAGGTCGTTTAAGAAGACCTCAATTGTAAAAATGATATAATTATAATAATAAAACTTAATTAAAAAATACTTTGCTAAATATCTTGATTTTTTTTTATTTAACGTTTGCAATTTAACACCGAGTTTGGTATATTTACTGAATCTTAGAGGTAATTAAAATTTTTATATACTTCCCAGGAAATGAGTCATATTAATACCTGTTTTATAAACTAAAATAATATATACCTAATCTGAACTATATATAATGAATAGCTGGCGGCTTGTTTAGTAAAACTCATACATCACTAATTAAAAAATTAATTTTTATTTCCTTTATTTTGTGCGGAAGTTGGACTATATCATAAATAAATAGGAAATTTTAATATTGAATGAATTATTCTCTCTGCACAAAGAAAGATAGAAAGGGTGACGCTATAAGTTCTTCTATAAACCAGAACTGATTGTTTGTTTTTGGTCTCAAAATGAGGAAATACGCGAAATTGGACCAGAAAATTGGAAAAATACATTAAGCGAACGAGAAAGGAAGTGCCAAAACCACGGAAAAGATAAAAAGGACCAGTATCCATTATATAGCTAAATGAATCCATAGTAGACAGATGAACAGAATATTTCAAGATGCTGCTAAAAGGGGGTCAATTGCAGTTTGGATGATAGTAAGTGGACGATGTAGGTTTATTATGGTGAAAAACACTTTATTTTCGATTGCTACTGAAGGTGCACACAGGGATTATCTACACTTTGAAGCAGGATATAGAGAGGTATATCGAGAAGGTTTAGTCTGTTTAGAGCATTTGCAAACAGATTTTTTAAGGAATCTAAAAGGAAAACGAGCTTTTCTGAAAGACAATTAGATATTAGCATAATCCAAAGTGTGAGGTACTAAGCAGATAGAGAGCTATTTTTCATTTGATATGGACTTCTCTATAAGTGAAGACAGTCCCAATTTTCAATTTCTCTTCCAATGTGCAACTTGAGGTTCTCAATCCATATCGCTCTGGCAATCGACAATATTTCTTATTCCAGCTTCTACGATTGTTGAGTATACTTTCTTTGGTACACTAAACAGGAATGGATCTTGGTGGGTATTACATTTCCTAGTATCGCCTTTCTTGTAAAGGTAAAAAATACAGTCCTTTCATATCATTTTCTAATATACTTGTTGCCTATGTACGCGCAAAACTGTGCGAAGCAGTTGGGTTTCGCCCTTTCCATCTTTCTTTGTGCAGAGAAAATAATGCGTTGAAATATTAAAATTTCCTATTTTTTTATATGGTACAAATTCCGAACAATTTATGCCGAAATTTCTGAACAATAACGAGCTGTGACTAATATAAGATACCTTAAAAAATCTTTTGAAAATCCACTAAACAGAAGGAAAGCTATGAGCTATAACTTTCTCGATATACATCTCTATATTCATCTTCAAAGTTAATATAGTCCCGATGTGCACCTTCAGCAATCGAAAATAAAGTGTTTTTCACCATGTTTTTCCTTTATTTTGTGCGGAAGTTGGACTATATCATAAATAAATAGGAAATTTTAATATTGAATGAATTATTCTCTCTGCACAAAGAAAGATAGAAAGGGTGACGCTATAAGTTCTTCTATAAACCAGAACTGATTGTTTGTTTTTGGTCTCAAAATGAGGAAATACGCGAAATTGGACCAGAAAATTGGAAAAATACATTAAGCGAACGAGAAAGGAAGTGCCAAAACCACGGAAAAGATAAAAAGGACCAGTATCCATTATATAGCTAAATGAATCCATAGTAGACAGATGAACAGAATATTTCAAGATGCTGCTAAAAGGGGGTCAATTGCAGTTTGGATGATAGTAAGTGGACGATGTAGGTTTATTATGGTGAAAAACACTTTATTTTCGATTGCTGAAGGTGCACATCGGGACTATATTAACTTTGAAGATGAATATAGAGATGTATATCGAGAAAGTTATAGCTCATAGCTTTCCTTCTGTTTAGTGGATTTTCAAAAGATTTTTTAAGGTATCTTATATTAGTCACAGCTCGTTATTGTTCAGAAATTTCGGCATAAATTGTTCGGAATTTGTACCATATAAAAAAATAGGAAATTTTAATATTTCAACGCATTATTTTCTCTGCACAAAGAAAGATGGAAAGGGCGAAACCCAACTGCTTCGCACAGTTTTGCGCGTACATAGGCAACAAGTATATTAGAAAATGATATGAAAGGACTGTATTTTTTACCTTTACAAGAAAGGCGATACTAGGAAATGTAATACCCACCAAGATCCATTCCTGTTTAGTGTACCAAAGAAAGTATACTCAACAATCGTAGAAGCTGGAATAAGAAATATTGTCGATTGCCAGAGCGATATGGATTGAGAACCTCAAGTTGCACATTGGAAGAGAAATTGAAAATTGGGACTGTCTTCACTTATAGAGAAGTCCATATCAAATGAAAAATAGCTCTCTATCTGCTTAGTACCTCACACTTTGGATTATGCTAATATCTAATTGTCTTTCAGAAAAGCTCGTTTTCCTTTTAGATTCCTTAAAAAATCTGTTTGCAAATGCTCTAAACAGACTAAACCTTCTCGATATACCTCTCTATATCCTGCTTCAAAGTGTAGATAATCCCTGTGTGCACCTTCAGTAGCAATCGAAAATAAAGTGTTTTTCACCATAATAAACCTACATCGTCCACTTACTATCATCCAAACTGCAATTGACCCCCTTTTAGCAGCATCTTGAAATATTCTGTTCATCTGTCTACTATGGATTCATTTAGCTATATAATGGATACTGGTCCTTTTTATCTTTTCCGTGGTTTTGGCACTTCCTTTCTCGTTCGCTTAATGTATTTTTCCAATTTTCTGGTCCAATTTCGCGTATTTCCTCATTTTGAGACCAAAAACAAACAATCAGTTCTGGTTTATAGAAGAACTTATAGCGTCACCCTTTCTATCTTTCTTTGTGCAGAGAGAATAATTCATTCAATATTAAAATTTCCTATTTATTTATGATATAGTCCAACTTCCGCACAAAATAAAGGAAATAAAAATTAATTTTTTAATTAGTGATGTATGAGTTTTACTAAACAAGCCGCCAGCTATTCATTATATATAGTTCAGATTAGGT